GCCCATCTACATTGGTGGAAGAATGATTCAGTTTTGGTTCAAATGTATAGATTTTTGTTAAGAGATATGAGTTCCCCTTTTGAGAGATACTCCTGCAAGAACTGAATCCTTCAAAGAAGGAAAAATGTAGTGTAGTAATTTATTTTTATTTTTATTTTATTCGTTGCTCATTTGCTCTATCTAAATTTCTCATCTCTTGTTTAACAAGATTTGTATAGACGGGCGAGTTGGTGATTGAGCCTGATCGACTGATACTACTATGGAAGATTTGATATCTACTCCATTTTATTTTTTATGAGCTTGATTGATGTTCACTTGCTTTTTACCAAACAGCATAAAAAACGACATAGATGTAAGAATGTGTTCTTAGATTCTCCCATTATAGTTCGGGAGTAGAAACTATGCACTGCATTCCGAGGATATTCCATTGTTACAGATCTGTAATGATATTCAAATGATTGTGAGTCAAAATATTATCGATAAATTTGTGAGTTTAAATAGTCTAACAAGGGAATCTACCTTAATATATAGGTAAACACATAATATCTCAGGCAGTCACCATGGATATTGCAAAATCCTCGCACTAACAAGAAAGCTTGAATAAGAGGACAAGTGGCACAAAGAGGTGGTATGTAATTCATCGCAGTATTGCGTTGAACTCAAAGTCAAAATTTGACAATATCATCCTCCAATAACCTGGGAAGCAAAGAATCAAGCTACTGCCTGCCCAGCCATTTGGGGGGGTTGTGAATGCTGCTGCTGTTCTTCCATTGAGGGCGGTGGATCTGATGATGGCTGTTGTGGTCTTGTCATTTGGACTGATCCTGATTGAAAATAGTTAGGGCCTGTCATTTGAGGTGATGAAGGGCCATAACTTCCTCTAACGTGAGGGACCTGCGATTGTGAAATTCTTGGGGATCCAGAAGGGGAGCGATAAGGGGCATGCCCCCCTCTGTTCATCATTAGCAGTCTTTCAATCTCTTCATTCCGACCAGCCTTTACAAATACCTCTTTAAAAAATTCCTGAAGTGAGGGAGTGAGGCCAATACCGTACCTCATTACCTGGTCAAGCAACATCCGACTAGCATCGAGAGCACCTTCATTACATAGCCCTCTGATCACCACGTCATAGCATGTGGGATCTGGTTTAGGATCCCTCTCTCCCATTTTTGTTAAAATCTGAGCACATTCAACTGCCTTGCCATTCTTAATCAATTCACCGAATACCCTGTTTCCGAAGCTAGCGACGACTCTCAAGCCGACATCGACCATTCTGTTGAAAACTTTCAATACATCATCAATCTGCTCAAGCTTTAAATAAGCTTCGATCAATGTCCTATGAGTTGGGACATCAGGGGACAAGGACTTCGAGCAAAGCTCAGCAAAGAAAGACTCTGCATCTCCCATCATTCCATGCTCACAAAACCTTACAATAATATTGTTATACCCTGCAACGTCCATCGCAAAAGGCCTCGACTTTGGCTGAGTTCCCACCTTCCGGAAAGTCTCTACTGCCTCTGAGAACTTACCAAGCTTAAAGCACTCATTAACCATTATGTTAAACGTATCTGAATTGACTGCTTGGAAATTTGGAGGAGTGTGATTATCCAACATCTGATCAAATAAGGTCCAAGCCTCCGTTTTCTTCCCATGCTTAAGCAAAACCTCCAACAGCACATTGCAAGTGGCTGGAATCATCTTGAATTGCCTATCAAGCAATGACTTGTACGATTCCATGGCCTCCTTTTCTTTCCCCCTGTTAAAGAACCAATCCATGAACGTAGCATTCACAACTCCATCATAGACCAAACATCTCTCCTTCAACTCATCAAACAGTTCATTCGCCTTCTCCAAATTCTCCAAATTTAGAAACCCGGAAATCAAATTATTATAAACCAACGAATCAGCCCCATGCCCTTTATTCAACATTTCCCGCAGAAGATCCACAGCCTCCCCAATCCTCCCAGAATCAATCAATCCCTTGGTCAAATGCCGATAAGTTACCGCCGAAGGACTAAATGGAGCATTTGCAATAATATGGCGATAAATCTCAAGACCCACATCAACACGACCCTCATCGCAATGAGCATTAATCAAATTATTATACGACACAACATTGGGAACTATATTCGACTGGTTAAAGAAGAACTGAAACAGTGCAATCGCATCACCATACCTCTTGGCCCGATACATGGCAGCAATAATAGCGTTACAAGTGAAAACCGTGGGCCGCGTGTTTGAGAACACAGAGTGGCGAGCGACAGCAGAAGCCGCATCAAGATCACCGGCACGAATTAGGGATTGAACACGATTGTGAAGGCTCAGACGAGGCCCCACAAGAGCGGAAGTGGAGTCAGGAAGACGAGGAGAATTAGGATCACGCTGAGTGGGCGGATAGTTGTCGCGGCGAAGAGCGTGGAGAGGGGGTTCGATACGAAGACGGCGCTTTCTACGGCGTCTTTCGGCAGCAGCTTCTTCGGCAGAGGAAAAAGCAAATGAGCGGGCATGGAGAAGCGAGATAAGAGAAGAGCTTTGCGAGGACGGAAGAATCGGGGTCTGCAGATTTTGGCTCAGAGGACCAATGCTCAGAGCTCGAGAATGCGATGGCGAGGTTGAAGTGCGGCGGAGAGAGCGGAGGAGGAGGCGGTATAGTGACATGATTCTACGGCGAGAGAGAGCAGAGGGACGATGAAGAAGATGAACTGTTAAACCCTAGAAAACAGAGAATCAGGGGTTTGGGACATTTCTGTACATATCGAAAAAGACAACTGCCATTTTATGTTTAGGATTTTATTTAATTTCATAAATAGTAATTACCGAAATATATAAAATATATAATTATATATTTTCTTTATAAAAAATATTTCTTTTTAAATCTGTAACATTATATATATATATTATACATATATATATATGGTTTCTAATATTTTTGTAGACATAGAACGAAAGCTGGCCGTTCTCAATTCGGGATCAGATTTTTCATGCTTTTCACAGGTTGGGGGTTTCTTGATTTGAATCTTCTTCTTATTCATCGATTTAATTCATATGCGTTTTTGTAGATCGTCAGTTCTAAAATAGCACTGATTCTATGGCCAAAAATAATCGTAGTGATTCTCCGGAAGTGGATATGAAAACCCTATATTTCGATTGAAATTGTATAACCGCTAATGGATTTGCTTAGATAATAGTTTGAATCGGAATCTTAAACAGACGCATCCATTCTCTTCTCTCTGAAATGAAATCGATGCAATGATTGTTTGGTTTCTGAAGACGATTTTGGGTTTTATATGAACTACCTTGTTGCAGGTTGCTGCGGATTTCGCAAGTGAATATGCATCCTCCTCTAACTTTGCATAAGCACCCGATGTGTGCTGAAGTGAGTTCGAAACTATGTTTTCTTAATATATATATATATATAGTTGAATTCCTCGAGATGGTTGGACGTGACCTTCATTTCACTTTCGATTTTTTTTATTATGCTGTATCCTTTCAAGAAAGAAAATCTTAGCTTGAACTCCAGGTACCCTTCTTGAATTCGCACACCCATTCTAATGATGAATTCAAGTCACCTCTATTTAATGAAGGGCTGAACAATTGACATCTCATTCAGTTTTATGCTGATGGAATTCAAATGATGAGTCTGGAGTTGTAATTAGTTGAACCGTGTTTGTTAAGTTATTCAAATCTTTTGGGTTTCTTAACAACCAAATGTTGTATAGAGTTAGAGGTCGAGTTAGAGCAAGGAAATCTTCCAGTAGTTTACTAAAGCCCAAAATTCCCTACTGTTATGTGATTTAGTTACCGGAAACCAGTTTTTAAAAACTATAATTTTCCTGCTCTCCTCTTTCCATCACTTGTACAGATTATTGAGGAGTTTCAGAAGTGTCATCTAGACCATCCCATTGCAAAATTTTTGGGTGAATGCACAGATCTCAAAATTAAGCTTGATCGATGTTTCAGGCAGGAAGTGAGTTTTGTGTTTCTACATTCTAGTTTTCCTTCGTTTCTTTTGTAGACCTGCTCCTTTTTCCATCTCAAATGACACTTTCTATTTCTTTTCACAGAAAGCTCTGAAACGAAAGGCAAACTTTGAGCAGAGTAAAAAAATGAAGGAAAGGCTAGATGCTTTAAGAAAGGAAAACGCTTTATGAAGTAGTTAGGATATGGCACTCATGGAAAGTGTTTCAAGACGAAACATTTAACTAATAAGACATCGAGATTGGGAAGATGTGTAAATTCATTACAGAAATCTAGAAATTTGTTGCCAGTTTCAATGGTTGAGGACTTTGAATGACACTCCAGAGTGTGGAAGAGAGAAATTTTAGTTCCAACACAAAACTTGTAGATTGTGAAGCTGGTGTCGAGCAAAACTGCAGTTTGGGTTGTGAAATTCAATATTTATAAGGCTGTTCTCATATGGGAATATACTTTGTATGCTTGAAAACTGGCCATAAATATAATCTTAATCATGTTTAGTTGACATATTTCTGATCTCCAGCTATAATTGTGTCGAGACGAATGCGAAAGATTTGCCCCTTGCATACAATTTCTCAAGAATCGTCTGAGGTAATCTTTTCTCTATGTTTAATCCATTTTGCAATACTTATGTTGGTAATTTGATCATTGAAATATTAAAAGATTTTCCCCTTCTTGCCTATAAGGTTTCTTTTCTTTGAAACTCTATTACATCATGAATCTGTTTTAAATCTGGCTAAAAATCTTTGCTGTAGTGCTCTTACTAAAAAAGATCTCTTGCTATCATCAGATTATGCAACATTGGCATATTTAATATTTCTTTTGAAGGCGACGGAGAAAATTTTAGACAAAGATTCAAATGTGTAATGGTTCCTAGGCTATACATAAAAGACTAATTCTGATTCCCAGGTTTCACATGAAAGGATTTGTTTCTTATAAAAAAGAGGTTCCATTGGAAGCACTAGGCAGCAACTGTTTCTGCACTACCGTATATGATTCTAACTGTACAGTAGTTTTGTATCAACAGGCATTGAGTTGGTTGATACAAAAGTACCCAAAATCTATTCAGGGAAAAACAACCTAATGGCATCGCTCAAAGGGATGCCCTCTTGCGAGCTCTGACCATTCTTCCAAACTTTACATTTCAACTCAAATGAGCTTCGGTCCCTCCATTGCTTCAGTAATGACAGTGGCAAGGGTCCCCTTGTCTCCCCTTGAGGACTTGCACAATACCACAGGGAGAAATTTGGATTCTCTGAAGTCTGCATTTTATCTTCAGCTTTCAAATCCTCGTTATCGCTTAGCTCGATCAACTCTACATCAGAAGCCCTTTTGCTTTTGAACTTTGATTTCTGAATATTGATATACTCACTTTGCCTTTTGATGCTGGAAAGCAATGGTTTGGAATATGCATGTTTCTTTGGTAGAATGGATTGATGCTGCTCTTTATGAGGTTGAAATTCTGCAGCTGAGACGCATGATTTTTTAGCAAAACCTTTACAAGTAGAGACCTCGAAGTGTTGCTGCTTCTCTGAAATGGTTTGCATGCCAATCAAACATTCTTCTACCATGGCAGCTGAAGATCAAGTCAGAAAATAAAGCATAGTTTGTCAAAATATTGATCCTCGATGCTAATTAGAACATAGATGGTAAATACGCACTTGAAATAAAAGGGGAACTACTTTTGTTCTCAATCACGTTGCGCACTCATTCAGTATCTACTCGGATCAATTTTCCATATAAGTGAATCTAAAAAATATTAGAACATGATCCAAGTTGCATTTGAGGCCTGCCTTCTGTTATTCATGGACAATCATTTAACATGGCCTAACCTTGGAAATGTGTATATGTGAGACTCAGGTTAAAATACTATTTTGTCCCTGAACTTTAGGTCTCATTCCATTTTACTTGAAAGTTCCCTAAACGAGTCGGGCCCCATAGAGATTGGTCACCTCTTTTAAAGCACACCCTTGTAACTCACTTGGTCGTAACAAAGTTGACAAGTTCCGTTCATCAAATTATTCGATTGAATAAGAATCTTTATGTATCCCGGGTGGCTCACATGAGATCAAAGCCAACCAACTCTCAATTGGCAAGCTAAAACCACCAGCAGTTGAGCCCTTCAACAGTAACCCAACCAGCTCTAAGCCCAGCTGGTGCAGATTCAGGGAGAAACCTGAGACTTCTGCCACGACCAACAGTAAAAGAAAGCCCTGATATAACTCCTTATATTCTACCAGTCAGAGTTAAGAGGGAAGTAAAAGAGAAACCTGAAAAATATGTCTCGATTCCAAGAAAAACCAGTAACCTATCAAGAGAAATTAAATCTTCAAATTCCAATCTACCAGTTCAAAGGATTTGAACTACCTACGAAGTATTTTTTAACTATGGTTCGAGTGGAATCAAAGTACTTTTAAGAAAAGAGCAAGCTTTGATAGAATGTCAAAACTTTTCAATAGTGTTAGTTTTCCAATTTATTGGAACATTATTGTTCTAGCGACATTTGTTCAAATTGAGACATATTTATTCATTACCTTTTAGGTCTTTCGATTATTTTACTGCTATTTTCTTCCCTTCTGGGGAGTTTGAATTGTAAAACATTTATAAACCTTTTCATTAATTAATGAAAAGTTCATGTCTTGTTCAGGTAGAGAGGGGGGAGAGAGAGAAAAAAAAACCTACAAATGAAACAATAAACAAAGAAATCACCAACATAGGCAGCACTTAGGATAGAAACAGCACGTCCAACTGGGGAGGCAGAAAACAATATGCTCTGGCCTGGTTCATAAATCCAATGGAACAAGATACAGGGCCAACTAAATTCAACGGATCAATGGCTCTAAAATTCAATGCAGCAACTAGGATAGAACAGACATCCAAAAGGGAGCACTTCTTCAAAGTTAAAAGTGAACATCTGAGCATCCATTATTCAAAAAATAATAAGCAAAGAGCAAGCCTGACAAAAAAAAAAAAAAATCACAACTATGAGAAAGATCACTAACCTGTGGCAACTTTTCTGTCGTCTCTCCCATCAACCAACATATGATTTTCTTGTTCATTCTGCTTTAGTAAATCATCAAATGTAGGTTCAAGAATATCTGCTATCACTTCTGGCAGTTCATGGATCAACCGTGCTTGTTCTGATGACTTTTGAAGTAGAAGTCTTTTTTCCATGTACTCGAACAATGTACATACAAAGCACTGGTTATGGAAACTTATTTTATCCTTGTTTAGAAAGAAAAAATGCCGGCTTGGTCAGATCCACATGAAACTCCCCAACAGAATAAAATGGACCCAGACTGAAAAATGAAGTACATGGATAGGCAAAACCATGTCTGTATATTTCCATATTACAGTATTATTATTGTTGTTATTGATATCATTTGAACTAAGAAACACAACTTTATAGCCTAAAAGTATATAGAAGAATGTCTGGAACTGTAGAAGTTGAAGAAAAGGTATACTCAATTCACAAGGATATTATTGTTAGTATCAAATATCCCATGTGATTCCAACTCACGGATACACAATGTTAGATGTCCTGTCCTGTCTAGAGGTTGTAACAATTATCCCCTCATCCCAATTGTACGCTATCTATCTTTCTTCTGTCTACTTGTAAGTATTCATATATTAAATGACGACTTTGTATACAATGAGTACACAAGTCCAATGAGAAAATCTTAAACTAAATTATTGTTGATCGTTACCCTTATTGTAAAGGTGGAACCATAATAAAATGAAATGGCACCAATTAGAAAGTCTATTTAAATTTTATGTCTTCCAAAATAAGTCATTGTCTTAATTTTAGCCACCCCATAAACGACATATATCATATAAAGTGAATCAGATAGGATATTCTCTTCTCCATCCCTTTTCATTTGCATGATCAATACACGTTTGCAATCTAGCCAGCTCCTCGGTAATCCACTGTCAGTGAAAGAAATATAAACCAGTTGAATGAATTTAGAGTTGAAATCAATTATTTGCTTTAAATTTAATCGCAGATTACCCTACATGTTTCGTGATATCCTCATGCAGACTTTTTGCCTTCTCGTAAAGCTCCATCTGAGGGAAAAAAAGAATTATATTTAAGGATGAGTAAAACTGTACATTTGGAATAATGCCTCTGACCGTAGCAATAGCAAGGAAAGAAACTCTTCAAAAAGATATAGTCTTTGGCATTATAGGAAGAATAGATTATAAGATATGCATGAAATTAAGAGAGACATGCATATTCACAACTACTTGCGGGCTTTGATCATTATACCATTGTTATGCTCACCATTGTAAAAAAGACGAACAAATAGAATTAGGTAAAACTAAGTGTCAGGCGTTTTCTAGATCAATATGTTTCATAAATTTACAGAAAGCCACTGTCAGTCACCTGGCAAGAACATTCACGAAGCTACTATTATAATAGTCCATGAAAACAGAGACTTACTCAACCGAGAATATACTCTCTCAAGAACAGAAATCCCCACAAAAGTTTTTCAGTTAAATAATTCTCTACAAGTTCAAGGATGCCTCAAAATTCTACAGACTTACCACAGTGGGATTCTTCAGCAGGCCATTTTTCATTCTCTGGCGCAAATCCTCACATTCATCCTGCAATACTAGACGCTTGGTCAAAATTTCCCCAGAATATCTATATTTCAATATGAGTAGGGTGGATCCCTAAGAGAACATCGGAGGCTTCTTTTGAGATCAGAACGTTAAAAAGAAGGAAGTTTCTACCGGCAGAGAAAATCCTTCCCATTCAACTCCAGTATAACTGTTCAATTCCGTGATGCACCCAACTCAACAGATCATAACTTTAACTAGGCATGCTAATCAGCATTCGATTGTTTTAGATTCTGATTTATAATTTATCACCAGCTGTGGCACAAAATTAAAGAAAACTTGCAATTTATCTAGAAAAACTTCAGAGTAAAAACCATGAGGTTTGCTAAAATTAGGAGGTCTTTCCCTTCTTATCTAAGGATTATAAATCCAGATCTTCATCACAAGGAGCAACTCAACTTCAAGAGTTTCCTGTCCCGAAATAAGATATTAGAGACATTGCTAAAATTTCAAAGATCCTAGAAAAACTCTATACTTCACAATTATCTTATAATTAAAACATAGTGGGAACTGAAATTTTTCTCCCGACGGTGGGATATGAATTTTATTAACAGACGATAGAAATTAATATAAAGATGTATTTTCTACCTCACAGAAGTCATCGTCTGATAAATTGTAGATTGGTATATAGTCTAGTCTATAGGTAACTTGCAGGAGAATTTCCTGCTTCTCAGTGTTGCTTGAATCTATCATTATGCCTGTGATGTGCAGAAAAAGGTTTAGAACAAAGCACAGTAATTTACAAATCACCTGCAGCACTTTAATATGTAATTACAAAAGATAAATCAGTTTCAGCAAGAGAAAGGTACGGCAGAACACAGTTCTAAAGGTAGATAAGGTGCTTAGGAATAATTTTGAAAAGAACATTTTGTTATTTTCGCCAAAAGTAAAGATTAAGTTCTTTTCCAGTAGGGAAAAAAAAGAATAACATAAATAAAGCTGGACCTTGGTCTTAAACTGCTACACTTAGTGCCTTCAAACTGAACAAACAAATAAATAAATAAATCAGACACCACAGCTTGATTTATCAAATTTTGTTCACTAGTCATTGCCTGAAAATTCAATGATAAGTTCCACGATGAGCCAACTTTAGTATGCAGAGCAAATAACATGAACAGTAACTGATGCACGAAAGGAAAATCTATTCTATGATTTAACCAAATTCATTTCACCATAGAAGAAATTAGATTAAAAAGTTCAAAAAATAAACTAAGCACTAATGTTTCCAACAGATGGCTGTTGCTTCTGTTTATAACCATATACTACCTCTTTTTCCATCACTTTTTACCTCCACCTCCACCTCACTCTCTCTCTTACATTTTTCCCTTTCTACACCTCTTTCTGTCAGATTCTCTTTCATCTCATTCCCTCCCTGTTCCTCTCAAGCTCAAGTCCTCGCCAATCTATATAAGCCATTTGCATGGTCATTCAAGTTGCATGTGAGTTGTGAACACGAGCTCAAGGCTAAGCTACTAAAAAGCAAAGGGAATGTTCGTGCTTGTGGTTAGTTAGGTAAATGTTCAAGATGCCTGCAACCATGCAAGATCAACAGGCTCAATTTAAAAAAGAACAAACCTTGCCTTTTAGTCTCACATATTTGAATATCTTGAAAAGAGTGGCAAGGCAAGAAAAGCCTTACAACCGACCATGGTTGAGACTGGAATCATGGAACCACACTCTCCAAGATAGTGGGATTGTGACACATGGGGCTTCAAGCTCATGATTTTTTTAAAGAGATCTAGGGCGAGGGATGCCTATCTCTTTAAACAAAATCCTCATTTGTTTAATTGTTCTCTCTTTAAACAATCTCTTTCATATATTAAAAAATTGCTAAATCTATAGGTCTTAACTCACTAAGTTATGCAAGGACTCATTTGCACGCTGTGGTTCAGAAAAGATAGATGAAATGACCTTTGAAAGAGAGGTGAATAAGACAAAACTACTACGGTCCAACCTACTTGGATATCAAAACTCCCTTGCTTACATATTAGAGATTAAAAATGCAAGTCAATAATTTTGAATACATTGAATAGAGAAATATGAGAGAAATTTTTAAATGAACAAAATAAATCGTTAGCTTTGTACATTGCTGATCTCCAGTTTCTGTTGGCTAATGTCTCTATAGTTAAGGTTGGGCTTTTAAGTGACTCAAGGAAGCGATCACTTCAATCTTTGGGCTTGTTTTCACTTAATTTGTTAACTCGACATCTTGCATTAGACTTTTCCTTTGAATAAGGATTTATTTTCTGCTTTATGGAATTGCAAAAGACCCTAAGGGGATTAATATTTTAATTTGGATTATGTTTACCGGATCTTTAAACTGTTCAGAGGTTCTCCAACGGACACTTCTTTTGATTGCATTTCTCCATCTATGTGTATGCTTTGCTGTGCAGCAGAGGACTCTCTTCAACACAAGGTCTTTAATTGCTGATATTCTCGGTTGGTTTGGGCTAGTTTGTATTCAGTTTTCAGCCTACATTGTGTTGCAGTTGCTTCTTGGTTCTCCTTTGTCAGCCAATTCCAAGACTCTTCGGTGCAATTTAGTGAAAGTCATTCTTTTGGAGCTTTAGTTTGAAAGAAATCAGAGGATCTTTCAAAACAAGCATCTCTCCTCTTTTGACCATTTTGCATCAGCTTGTCTTATAGCTTCATTATGGTGCTACCTTTCTAAATGCTATGCTGATTATTTTATACAGGACCTATGCTTGAATTGAAAGGCTTTTATTTTCTCCATGTAGCTTTTTGTTTTGTTGTTTTCTTTTCTTTTCTTTTGTACTATTTTTATTCTCACTCCCGTGTGGAGTTCTTATTTTTGGGTATTAGCCACTTTTCATTATTCATTATTTCAATGAAAAGCTTAGTTTCTTGCTAAAAAAAACAATAAAAGAAAACACCATGAAAAAAGGTAGCATACCATAGAAGTAGCTTCTCCTGCAGATAACTTGGACAAAATATTTAAATGTTTCAAATATTGAGCTTACATATTTCTAAAATGTAATCACTAATCTAAGCAACGTAGATAGTTAATTACCTGTAACTTGAAGCAACTGGTAAGAATTTTTCTGTGAATAGTCGTTGGGATCGGATTTAACTCTTATAAAACTTCCAATCATTTTTCCTTCAAAACATTCAGGATTCTCGAGAAGCCTCTCTACTAAACTTCTTTTCAGATAGACCAGTTTGATGTTTGCTGAAATGATAGCAGCAGAACAAGTATGTGACACATCTGACAGTTCCTGTTCGGCAGGTTTTCTATCTGAGATCAACTTCCTTGGCTTTTTACAAGCCATAGAAGAATTATCATCCTTCTCTTCAATACTACTTGTGCTCTCATCATCAGATGATTGCTCCATGTTTTCAGCAAAATGAGCAGTTAGGTGCTTGTGTACAGTATTCACATTCATTGATTTCCTTCCAAAAACAGCTTGAAGCTTAGCATCACAAATAATCTTCTTCTTTTTCAGCGGATGGAAAAGCTTGTTTTCTTTACAATAGATTGTAATTATAGAAGTCACATCATGCTGTGACATCTTTTTTCTTGTATCCTTGCCAATTTTTGAAAGAAATTCTATAACTGGTTTTGACCCCCATCCAATGAACTTTTGGTCACTTGACTTCATTTTTTTTCTCGTAGTGCATAGCTTCTCCTTGCTTCTTTTGCATTTTCTTACTAGTTTGTGCCCTTCTTCTGTATCCACCAATTCTTCATAGTCTGATGAAATTTCATATTCATCAGTGTCTTCTTCTGATTCCTCAATTTCATTTCTAAAATTTCTTCCCTTCTTCAATAAGTTACTTGCCATATAAACAAGTTCTGCTGTCAAACCCTGTTTTTTCTTCATCAGTTCCCAGTATTCCTTGAATAGAAATTCATAAGTCTCACGATCATTGAAGTCAACCTTTGTCTGCAAATTAGCAAGCATAGAGGTAAGACATAAGAAAATCAAAAGGAAGCAATAATCTTTGATTCACCAAACCAAATAACTCAACAAAGAGCCGAATGTACATACTTCCATTAATAAATTTAAGAATAATTTAATTGGTTGAAATTTTTTATAAATTGTCTTGAAATATTTTTTTCCTTACCAGATTAGGTAAGATTATTTGGCCGAATGCATACACTTAACAGTATGGTTCCTCATGAAATAATTTGACTTGTTTGTTGGAATGAATGAAGAAAACGGAAGGACAAAACCAAAAAGGAGAGGGGTTTGTTCATGGATATTCCACTTGTGCAAAGGAGTAGGATCAAACAATCATAAAAAGGCCAAGTGAGAATACCCCATCAATGTCAACATCTTTACCGTCTTCTATAAGTAATGTGAGCTGCAAACAGTGATTGCAGAATCCTCTCCAGCCTCGAACACGCACAAACTCAGCATTAAAAATGCAGCGTCCACATACAGCTTGTGGGCAGCCAACACAACGGAACTTTGAGGTTTTATGGCAGAGGAAGCATGCATGCCAGTCTGATACATAATATATATCATGATTTGAGGAAACTGAAAAAATATAAATGACACAGGCAGAACAAAAAAAAAACTACTAGATATCAAAAAAGTAACATACAAAAAATGAGCTTACACTTCCCAGTTATATAAACTGGTCTTATTGAGGCCTCCGAGTGTATGTACTATGTTGAAGACATGGGATACCATATACGGGGAAGGCATCAAGTAGGTTTGTGGAATAACACATAATCGTTGATAAATCTTTTACAAAACAAGAAAGATGGCATAGTACAAGAGTCAGAGAAATATTCACAGCAGATAGCACGATATGACCCATGCTTCACTCGCATCCATATGTTATAGATATGTTAATTTCATAAATTTGAAGTAGTCAATGACAGACCCCATAATAAACATGTCCAGGGACTACATCATACCAAGCTCTTTCTCCCGGCAGTCGTGAAACCAAAAATGGGGGAGGCTTGGAACTCATTAAGACAATAGCAGATGATAAACTTTGTATTCTCATACTTATCAAAAGTTGTAACTCGTATTAAGAAGATATCATTAAATAAGCAACTAGCGACTGTTTAATTAAAACAGACTAAAATCCATACATGACACATAGATCACTCTCAAAATCATAATTGCTTTCAGCATCTTACCACAGGTCCAACGATCTTCAGACTCCACAGAAGAATCTTCCCTTCCAACACATTCAGGGTGATACGCTTTAAGGCAATCTCTGAAACCATTATATACACAATTAAACAATTACAGCCCTCCTTGATCATACAGAAAGAAAATCCATGATCGAAGAAATATTTATCTGGACAAAGAAGGATAGATACATAAGAGTGTCCCAAATCCCTTTTGATTACTACAAAAATAGACTGAAGAAGCAATCTACTCCATCCCATCTTCACAGGATCTTATAGTAATTTTAAATTTTAACAATAGAGTCCAAATGCATCACATCTACAGTACATGCATACAAAATCCTTACCGATATACGAAGAAAAAAATGTTTTCAAATCATACAAGTTCACTCATAAATTGATATCATGTGCGTTTTTTTTTTTTTTTTTTTTTTTTTTTGAGAGAGTGATAGAAACAACTTTCCTTGAATCAATGAAACGTCTCCGGACATAATGTGGATTAACAGGCTGAACTCGGTAGAGAATTATATAAATTTTTACTATCATACTAAATAAATAACCCTGATCGTCATACTAAAAGCTTCGAAGTGTGTACTTTTCTCAAAATAATTTTAGGAGAAACTTTCCCTGAAAATTACAATGTGAAACCAGGTGAACACTGGTGAGTCAAGGAAAAATAAATTAAACTATTAAGAACCCAATTGTAACACGATTGTGCGAGGAAAAAGGAGAAAAAGAACAAACAAACAAACAAACAGACCAGCAGATTTTTTGCTCATTTCCATTTTCCACTTCATTTCGCTATTCGTCCGATTTTACATGCATGAACTTCCTATCTAAACATGAACATCTCAGTGCTTCTCCTAGCATAACCATTTCTCCTAAGAAAATCCTTGCATGAATAAAACAACGAATGGGCATTCTCAATGGTAATGGAACTCACTTGAAGTCGCAAAATCTGAGGAGTCCTCCATCTTTACAAATGAAGCAAAAATCCTCTCCGATTTCTTCTTTCCTTGTGCATTTCTTCTTTACCATTTTCGTAAATCGAAGCTTGAAATCACTGAACAGTTTCACAGTGAGGACTGAGGATCGGAAGGACCCTTTATGAAATGATGATTACTCTAACCCATTTTGCAAAGCAATGATTAAAAAGCCTTCAAATATGGTTCTCTAGAGGGTTTTGACGGCAAATTTTTAACTCGACAAAAAAAAAATGGTATTTTTTATTTTGAATTTATTAAAAAATATATATTTAATTTTGCATTAGGTACCTAGGAAAACAAAGATACCATATTCATTTTAAAACTTATTCATATTCAAAATAATATAAATATTATTTTTGAATTTAGCCATTTTAAAATAGTCTTATTTTATTTTTAATTTAAATTTTTCAAAAACTATGAAATTTGCAAAATATTAATTGTTTTGAATTTTAAATTTAGACTAGATTGGAAAAATTACTATAATTATCTTAAAATTTCAGATTAACTGAGTTGCTCACCGGTCTGAATATAATGCACAACTCAATATCTCTATTTTCAAATTGAGTTGTTTTTAATCCATTTTAAGTTTTAAAATCATCTTATTATTAAATAAGACTCAAGTTATTGTCTCCCTTGTTGAGTTTGAAAAGGATTATAATTTTTTTTTTACTTAAAATAAAAACCTTTCCATTATAAATTTGGACGGAATAAAACGAGATATTTTAAAGGTAATTAAATAAAATAATCACAAATATGGTTATTTCTTTCAAAAAAAAATGCGTTGCAAAATTAGAATCCACCAATATTTAAATTAAGTAATAATAAGCAATAATGTCTTTTCTATTGATTCCTACGGACTGGATGATCAATCAAAGAGAGATTCAACAACTAAAAGAAAGATCGATTCTTTGGGATCCTTCCTTTCTTCAAACGAAACGAACAGAGATAGAATCAGACTGATTCCCTAAATGCTTTTCTGGATACTCCTCAATGTCCCGGCTATTCACGGAACGTGAGAAGCAGATGAATAATCATCCGCTTCCAGAAGAAATCGAAGAATTTCTCGGGAATAAATTATAGTCAATGTTTAGGTTAAAACATGTCAAATAAATATCAAATTAAATGGTCAGGTAATAATTATCAACTGAATTGCTGTTAAATAACTAAAAATAATTAATTTCTGTAAAAGAAAAAAAAAACCTTCAGAAAATATTTGAAATTTATTTTTAAAAGGATGTAGTTTATAGAAATACCTTCTAGATTATTTGATGAAAGATATTAACCAAAAATGTTTTTATATTTTCAATATATCCATACATTAAATTTAAAATTTTTAAATGCACATTTACATTAAATAATATATATTCATAATACAAACATATTAAAATTTTGTTATAATAATAATAAATTATGAATTATGAATATTATAAAATAATGATTATACAAAAATTGTAACATTTATCATGTTCATAAATAATAATAATAATAATAATAATCATAATTCACTTAATATTTAGCATCACAATCATTTTTATGGCTACAACTTTACTGTTAAAAGACATTTTGAACAGCTTTTTTAAATTACAAACACATTCTAAAAAATACTGAAGTTGAGTGGATTAGAGGCAAATGCTGGAAATGAATACATAAATTTTGAAGGTTATTTTTTTCCCCTTTTTTCTTTTGGTCTTTTAGAAGAGTGAATCAGGAGGAAAATTGTTTGAGATCTCCACAAAGCGAATTCATCCATATCTAAAATTTCACAGGAAAAAAAAAAAAAAAAAATCCTTATTGAAGAAGCTAAACCCTTTGGTTTCTTTATACAATCATTTTTTTTGTTTTCCTTCATTGCAAAATTGACAAATACTCGGTTTCTCATCACAAGCTTTCCAACCACCACCATAAATAGCTACTCTGCCACAAGCGCAGCCATAAGGTGTTTTCTCAGGCAGAGCGCATGGGCCAACCGAGCAGCGGAGGTGATCCTAACGGGGATGCCTCTCGGCTGGGAGAGAAAAGGCTAAGCTCCACAAAAGTTGCCGACCCCATACCAGCAGAAGATCCATCCTTTTGAAATGTTCTAAAAGAGATGGACCCCCGCTTGGTCGAGGAGGCATCGGAGTTTCTGGGTGGGCTCATTTGGGAGGAAGTATCATCAAGTTGGGGCTGGTTAGCCTCCCTATCATCCAGATGGAGCTGGTTTGAAATGAGAGAGATACCATCATTGTGATCATCGCTCAACCTTCTCCTCGCCTCCAAATCCTGTAAGTTGCCCAAGGCCAAAGAATCCGCCGCTGGAAGGTACACAAGCACGCATATACACAGCCCAGCACAACATAAAAGTACAAGAAAGGCTGAGAAAATGAGAGCTTCGAATAAAAACCGCTCTGGTTTCCGAAAAACAGAAAAACCAAGTAATATAACCCTTAATGGGAGGAATCCTGAAACTGAGAATATCAATGTGTAAACTCTCCTCTGCAAGTTCCTATTGATGACCAATTTCAAAATCTGTCTCCCAAGCCAAAACAAGTAGGTGGTTAGGATGGTGGCAAAAGAGCCAAGGAGGATAGTACTCAGTAAAGGGTAAGTACAGAGAGCAATGTCCCGAGCACCTTTCGAACTAGATGAAGTAACAATGGTGGCTGCACTAGTAAAATATTTCGGCAGTTTTTGACCGTATTTGCTATTGTTGTTTAGCCGGGGTCCAATAAGTATAACAACTATCTGAAGAACAAACACAGGGAAGCAGTAGAGAAAAATATACCCAGCTGTTTTCCTGTTCCATTTGCGGCTGAGAATTCCCGACTCCATATTCTGAAGGGGCCCTCGAAGCAAAAACAAGAGAGTGAGGAATATGCAAGGTTCTGCGAACCCAAGGTTCGAAATAATGTAACATTTGCAGACAGTTTCCTGCCATTTCAAGTCGTGCAACAATCGTCCCTCCTCTCGCAAGAAACTTAGCCGACTAATTTCACCAAGACCCCACCAGATCACAAACAAGATGAATGTAATTCGAATTATCCAAGGACCACTGAAGTAACTGAGTTGAATGCAACCTTCACTATGAATGCGAGATCGGAAGTAGCAAGAGTAAATGATGCACAATAAACCGAGAAGAACCAATAGGGCCACTAAACAAATTGTCACCACACCGAATGCATCGGCAGAAAATCTCGTCAGGGGCATTACTCGATGCACAGATTCCACGCATACTCTCTGCCAGCATGGATACTAAGGACCACTTATCGTTATTAGCTTTCCTCCCACTTCTAAGGAGAACATATACAGAGCAAACCAGACTGGAAGATTTCCATAGAACTCAAATTAAGCACTAACTTCTGTAGGATATGCTAGAGCAACAACATTTGAAACAGCAGTCATGAAGAATAATAACCATGTTCACAACCAACGTATTCAAGTTGCTCTAGGTACAACAATCCATCTCAAACATCTGCACCGGAGTGGGAAAAAGTAAGAACTGAGAAGCACCAGCATAAGAAGATTGAATCCAAGAAACAAAGAACAATTGGATTGTAGCTATCAAAAAGGATAACTCGTATCATTGATATCACTGATATGATAAAGGAAGAGGTATCAGTATTTGCCAAACAAGTCAAAGATAAACTACAGAGTTTAGCTGCTTCAATCATTCCAAACGGGAAAAAATATTATCAAATTTAAGTATACTTGAGAAGGAGAAATGATTGGCGTAAATTTTTTTTTAAGTAACAGAGGAATTAAGTTATATCATTCATTAGTGTATAAGCCAAAATGAAAGAACATTGCCAGCTTCTCAAGTAAACAGATGGTACAAATGGTAAAGAAATTAACAAGTTTAGATAGGAAGCATTGAATAATAAATGAAGCAGTCTTGTCTCTTTGTCGTGTATGTGTTGTTTGTAGGGGATTTGCAGGAGATAAATAGAAGAACTTTTAGGGAAGTCAAAAGATCTTGGGGAAATTTTGGGAAATTTTTAGGTTCAATGCCCCTTTGTAATTATGAGTTTGGTCGATCATCTGGGATTGGATTCTGTTTCTAAAAAACAATAATAATGATAAATCAAATTTCAAGCACAAATATTCAATTTTCTGATGACTTCCATATTGATGTTAAGCCAGAGATTGGGATCCTCAATCCTGTAAAAGTTCGGCTACCTTGTTTTGGTAGCACTTGTTTAGGTAGAATAAAATTTTTAGCTTTCAATTCCGTGCTACACTTAGAATATTATCTTTTTAAGAAATGAAGTTTGCATTAGTAAAAATAATTCTATAAAAATGAAGAAAAATAACAACTAAACGTTCAAATCAAACTAAATAATCGCAACTTATGAAAAATCTGAAACAAATTTTCATTCTGAGCAAAACACCCTCCGTATTGTAACCAGCATTGTCGGTCATAGTAGTATATCAACGACACCTCCTAGTTCGAAATTCAAAACAAGACACAAAAGCAGTGTTTAACTCAACATTGAAAACCAAATCCTACAAAAACAAAACGTAAACGGAACATTAAGAAATCCTCACTTATGCGAGCTTAATCTGCTAAACCCTTAATAAGCCACAATTGAAAAATGCAGTCACTACAAATCCCTCCCCAACAAAAATCATACAACAAATGCACCAGAACAGATAAAGAAACGCAAAGCCAATACAACCCTAACAAAATCATCTTACGCCAAAAAGAAAACCAAATAAAAAGAAATCGAAGTAAACCAAACCAGGAATGCGCCAAACACGAATTCAAAGGAAAATCAAAATTTAAAAAAAAAAAAATTAGAGAAAAATTAAGATGAACAATGAAAAACAGATGCGCAGAAACAAAGTGAGTACAAAAATGAACGCGATATCAAGTGATTTAAGAAGGCAAAGGAAATGCTAACGTAATCAAACGAAAAGCAGATCAATCGGAAGCTTACAGCGGGGGGAATCTTGATCTAGCATGCAGAAAGGGGGGTTAGGAAGAATCGCAGAAGGAACCAGAGAACCCTAATCCGCAGAGGGAGAGAGAGAAGATGAATGCCAGACAGAGAGAGAAGAGCGGGACAAAGGGAACGTAGTTAGGGGAATGGGTGAGTGGGACTTTGTTGGTGACAGGCTGTCTCCAGCTGCGCGTCGGAGACTCAAGCTTCGGACGAGAATTTTGGCTCGGTTTTTCCGAGCCTACGTGGATGTTGTCGTGGCGGCGTGCGACTCCTTTCTTTCGTGGTTGCTTGGCTATGGGTTTAACATACGCCCTCTTCCGGTTTAGAAAATGCCCTGCCCTGGATTCATTATGCTTCCATATACCTTGGATTCCAAATAGCCCCACAAAGATGCTCTTATTTATTTATGTTTTATTTTATTGCATATGATTAAGAGAATTTGTAAGGGTTTTTAAATAAAAATATTCCAAATAATTATTTATTTTTATTTTGTTTTAAGGCTTTTTACAATTATTCATATTTTTATTTTGAATTTGTTTTGAATTTTATTGTACCTGAGGTTTATCACCTTGATCTAAAATTATTCATAACTTTAGCTCCCACCCCTAATTGGAATTGTGATTTTACTTATAAGATAGAACGTACGAAGCCCAATTTCAGAGTATAATATTCTCGTAATTATCTTTTTTTTTACGAACAAAATTCATCTAATCTCAATGGGTTCATTTTTTTATCAATCTAACTCTAATGGGATAGTTTTAAAATTTGTCTTAAATAACTCATTATGTCTTAATATTCTCGGTCAAAATTATGGTACTTTTAATTTTTAGTGCTCCAAGGTAGACTTTGGATTATCCTTACGATCGTTCGTCAAACTCCATAAAGATAATTCTAAGTTTCTATAGGTAGACAAGTTCTAAACCTCTCGTGTCTTCTTAGGTAGAGTTTTGGCCTTCCTTATATTCAATTATTTAAGGATTCCTAAATTATTCTTAGAATAGTTAAGTATGTCTTGCATTCGGCAAAATTGTGGGCTTTTTTAAGCTTACATGCTCCATGATAGGTCTAGGGTCATTCGTACAATGAGTTTGTCAAATCATGTAGGGATGACTCGAGGTTTTCATAGGTAAAAAGGCTTTAGGCTGAAGGTATTCCACAAAATGACTCGTCGTCTTGCATTTAGGTAGAGTTGTGAGCTTGTTTAGACCGGTGTGCTCCAAGTAAGCTTTGGATTATATTTAGGATCAACTAACAAACTCTGTAGAGATGACTTTAGGTTTTTGTATGTTTTAGAATCTCCTCCAAATATATATATATCATTGGTTATGATGCATTTTCTATGATTCTCATAATGCGGGAATGACCATAAGTCGGTATGATTGTAGGCTCTATCTCACCTATTTTTGTCCTTTGGAGTCCTTTGTTTTCTATAACGAACGACTTTCATTTCTTATGGGTGTCACATGACCATGAACTCGACCTTGATCTTTGCGAGCTTTGGATTGAAAAGCTTCCACTTAATAAACTCATTTGTATCAAACCCATAAAATAAAAAAAAAATATTTGAAATTTGATTGAGATTCAAATAGATTGAATATATACCGGGATAACTTATAATATTTGGTGACCTGGTCATAGGAGAGCTAACGACCAAAACCTCAATGAATGGAGATCGTAACTACAATGATCCTAAAGTGGCAAAAATTTATTGTCGGGTAAGTTTTCAATTGAGCTATGTATCCTTTTGTTTGGCCCAATTCTTCTTCCGACGATCTTACTCTAGCTGAAGATTGGGTATGTTCTCTCACTAATTTCAATGGCGGAAGTTATGCGAGCTTATTGTAGACCGATATCTCTTTCTTTTTGGTTAAGGATCTAAGTTGTTTTGGCTAGTCTTTATATGAAACTGGTCGAGTGAAAAGGCAAAACCACATAGTAGAGTTAATGCGAGGATCAGCCCGATGCTATACCACGACAACTCCACATGTGCATTACTTGATCAACTAAATTGATACTCTATTAAAATATATTATTTAATTTTAGCAAACATTTCCTATAGGTTTATATAAATAAGACCCTTGAGTAGTGTCAAACCTAAATCCCCACATATTTCCTCTCAAGAAAATTGAACTAACTTTTTTAGTTTTCAAATGCGGTTTCTTTCAAAAGATTTTAAAACGTTTTAAAATTATTGATAATATAGAAAAATAATTAAAATATCAAATGAAAAGTCAATATGTCTAATTGTCGTTATTTCAAATTTAATCAAAATGTTTTTTATATATCGTTTTATATGTTTGGTCACGATTGGTTAGGATGATATTCGAAAGAATTTATGTTACAAGATTAATTTGAAATGCTAAAAAAAAGAAAAACTGTTGAAAGAAGGGTGGGTGATGCTGGCCATGGAGGTATGATATTTATTTTATTTTATTATTATTATTATTATTATTATTATTATTATTATTATTATTTTTTGTAGCCAAACAAATATTTGGAACAAAATTAGGCTGGGTGTGTCGGGCCATGGAGCCCAAAGACGAATACCCGATCCAGAAACACCTTTAAAACCCTAGTTTTTGCTCTTTATAACACACCTCCCGCAGCAGGCTTACTCTTGCTATCGCTCGCCCTCAGGTCTCTCTCTCAACTTCATCACTTGTTTGTTTAGTTGATCTTGTTTATTTCATCAGAAATCAATCACAAATCGATTGAATTATATCTGTATTTCTTTCTGTAACTAACCGCTGCGTTTGTTGTTTGCTCAGATCTGTATTCTTTGAGCGAAGCGTTTTTTCTTCAGCGAAGCGATGGCTCTGGTGAGTCCGTCGTTACTTCTGATATTTTCTACAAATTGGTTCCAGAACGTGGGAATTTATCTTGGATTATTTTGGATCTGACGTGTTGCCGTTTGGTTTGATTGATGGGTTTTATGGAAAAAAAAGGAAATCTGTAATTGGATAGTTCTAGCGTAGGGTTCATGTTTTATTCTGCTTTTCAACTCTGGTTTGAATTTTCTGATCTTATTTTTGGACCATGCTATTTTGATAGTAATACTCTTTTGATTCCGAATCACTACCGTGCGCTGTTTACTCCTGAAATTGGATAGTGTCTCATGTTGACATATGTCACTGCATAAAAAGGGTTGAACGATTGCTGAAATAGTTGCTTTTTTTACATTATTGACGATTGAGGATTGCTTTTCCGTTATTTTTTTTCAAGTTCAGCCTTATTGGTTTTGGGGTTTCTATTGATTGAGATTTCTTAAAATATTCCAAACTTATTACTCCCACCCGTTCAAAAAAGTTTATCATGCCAAAGCCTAACGTGTTATTGTCTAATTGCACACCAATGAAGTTTATTGTGTGCTTACTCCTTGGTTTCAGTTATTAATGAATTCATTGCAATTGGATTGTCATTTTTCAGTTGATAATCGTTTGATATGTTATTGATTTATATACGTGTTCATTTTGCAGGTTCTGTACTCCTGGAACACTAACAAGAATGCTTACAAAGCTCTTATAGTTGCAGAATACAATGGTGTCAAGGTTGACCTTGCCCCAGGTTTTACCATGGGCGTAACCAATAAGTCTCCTGAGTTTCTCAAAATGAATCCTATTGGGAAGGTAAACCAATATCTTGCTCTTGGTCTGGTGATCTGTTCGTGTTAGAGATCGTAATTCTTTATTCTATAGCTCTTTGCTTAAAAAATAATGGATCTTAATGTTTCAGGTTCCTGTGCTTGAAACACCCGAAGGTGGTATCTTTGAGAGCAATGCCATAGCTCGCTATGGTAATTATTGTTATGCTTTCTCCATGGGAGTGACTTAATAACTATGCAAATGAGTTAAGCGGAATTATTCCTCCTTTTCTTTTGTTTTATGGTAATTTTTTTTCTTGTTGCTACAGTTGCTCGCTTGAAGGACTGTGGTTTGTTTGGTTCTTCTCCAATTGAATATGTAAGATCCTTTGTTCTTTTTCTTTTTTGATTTTGATTATTCTCCTTTTCTTTTCTTTAATTAGAATGAAGTTGTTTGCTTTTATTAAACCTTTTCACTCTATTTGTTTTCAGGGACATGTTGAACAATGGATTGACTTTGCCACACTTGAAATTGATGTTCATATTGGTGCTTTAGCAGGGCCTAGATATGGATATCGTGCTTACCATGCTGCTGTAAGTTAGTTTCTCTTTTATATCTAATCCGAGTGAGTTTTTCTTACAATGTGGCTGAGTTATTGATAACGTTTTCTGTGCGAGTTCTTATTCAAATTTGAATTTTTTCTTCTTGTATTCTTCACTTGTGACGTGGGTAGTAATAGAAAATGAGAAGTGGATTGAGAAATTGGTCTTTTTGGTTTTCAATTTCACTCTTTTCCATTTTTTTCTTTCCTTCCTGAGTCCTATATTTCATGTATGAGTGATTTTTTTTTAATTTTTTATGGTTACCTACGAATGACTTTGCTTTCTTATTTCTCTGGCACATGACACCGTGCATTTTATTTTCATCATGAAGGTTGAAGAAGCTGCAAACGCTGCCCTAAAGCGCTCTTTTGCTGCTCTGAACTCTTACCTTGCTTCAAACACATACCTTGTTGGACATTCTGTGACACTGGCTGATATCATTGTAACATGCAATTTGTATTGGGGAATCTCTTTTCTGTTGACTAAAAGCTTTACTTCTGAGTTCCCTCACGTCGAGAGGTACTTCTGGACAATGGTCAATCAACCAAATTTCAAGAAGATTATTGGTGAGTTTAAGCAGACAGAAACTGTTCCACCAGTGAAAACACCGGGAGAGGCTGCAGCAGCTGCCAAGCCAAAGCCTGAGCCTAAGAAGGAAGAAAAGCCCAAAGCAGCAGCACCTGCAGAGGAAGAGGATGCACCAAAGCCCAAGGCCAAGAATCCTCTTGACCTCCTTCCTCCCAGTAAGATGATTTTGGATGAGTGGAAACGTCTCTACTCGAACACAAAAACTAACTTCCGTGAGGTTGCAATCAAAGGTATGGCCATTCTTAAGCCCCATCTGTTTCATTATGTTTCTTGAGAAGTTAAGAATCAATAACTGTTTTCCCCTTGAAGGAATTGTATAATTGAAGTCTTCTATGTTCATTTGTCTACGTGATGCAGGATTCTGGGACATGTACGATCCTGAAGGGTACTCCCTTTGGTTCTGTGATTACAAGTACAATGACGAGAACACAGTTTCCTTTGTGACTTTGAACAAAGTCAGCGGATTTCTCCAGAGAATGGATCTTGCTCGTAAATATGCCTTTGGAAAGATGCTTGTGATCGGATCAGAGGCACCCTTCAAGGTGAAGGGGCTATGGCTTTTCCGTGGGCAAGAAATCCCACAATTTGTCATGGACGAGTGCTATGACATGGAGCTGTACGAGTGGAAGAAGGTGGATATCTCTGATGAAGCCCAGAAGGAGAGAGTGAACCAAATGATTGAAGATCAGGAACCATTTGAGGGAGAGGCTCTCTTGGATGCCAAATGCTTCAAGTGAGAAATAGACAGAACATCATTTGTTGTTGGGCTAGAGGACTGACTTGGGACGAAGGTTTCTGTGGACTTTTTGGGTCGATTTTGTTTTCTGCCGTCTTTTGAAGTAGATTTTGTCTTTTATTTATTATCTGAGGCAAACTGAACACACCCTTCTTTGATTTTCTATTTAAATTTCAAGCCATTTAGCTTAGCGAGTGCTGTTATGATTTATAAAATCCACTTTCCTCCCTTGTTAGTTTATCCATTACGACTTAACTTTTTTTTCTTTTTAAGAAGCAAGATTGTCCAAATTTAATTTGAGCCTTTAGTTTGGGCAATTTCTTTTTTTTCTTTATGTATTTCGTTTCTTTTTTCTCTGAGAAGCAGACTTGCTTGATGTCCATTTTTGTTTTTTTGTTGTTTTTAAAATTTGAATATGTTTCTAGAATTGGGGTTGGGTCTGTGTTGAATGTATTTAGTGTCCGACTTTGGTTCTGTTTTGTGTATTCTTCAGCTGATCTCTTTGTTCTTCGGTGTAAATTTGGTTGGTGGCTGATTCTTGTCTCGTCCATTTGATTTCTTGAACGAGTTTTTTGAAATTTCCTCGATTACTTCGATTCTTCAGCCGTAAGATATTCTCCAAATTTGGGTTTGGATCTTTGTTTTGCGTATTTAGTGGCTGAGTTAGCTTTTTTCAGTGCTTTCTTTGGTGTAAACGCTGTTCTTTTCTACCATTGAACTTCAAATCATACAAAACTGAATATGGTTGAAATGAAGTTGCAAGACCATGGAGTATTCTTAAACATTCAAACTTTACACAGTTATTATACATTTTTTTTTTTTAAACAATATAGAAGTCAATAACTCGACGTGGAATATTGGAATTCCTGTAATAAGCTTAAAGGTCCGAAACTTGGGAGAGGGGACAAAAATATGGACTTTCAACCGTCTATAAAGTTTATAATTAAAAATCTCGTGAGAATATCAATAAAATTAAAATCAATTTTGAAAATATACTCCTAAAATTTGAAGGAATTTTAATCAACCATCTTGGTTCTTCACTCTTCAGGTAACTTCCAACCGTGTAGCGTTAGCGTGGTTTTGCAGCTTTCAGCTTTCCCTTTAACTTCCATTTCTCTGCCGTGAGCGAGCGAGCGACAGAATTTGTTTTCGAGCTTGCCAGAAACAGATAGACACAGAGATGAGCGGAAATTTGAGTCGCAGATCGTTTCATTTTATTTCGTTTTCGGCTTTGCTTTCTCTACTTTTCGTCTCCGGTACTTCCTTCAGATCTCTCTTTCTTGTCCTTTCTGTTTATTTATACTTTGCTTAATTCAATTTTTATTTACTTTCTATGATCCGTTCTTTGATTTTATGCAAATTCTCGTTTCCTTGTTTTTGCTTGTTCTGTTACTGGAAGCGGTTGAGGTGAACCGAATTGAGAGGGTCGCAATTGTCTTTAGAAGCCTTTTCCTTTCATGAATTTGTATTGAGATCTCGTTTTTGTTTGATTTTCAATCTCCTTCCATGGTAATTAGTTGAAATCTTTGTTTGTTTATGTTTTCTTAGTTAAAATAATACTTACAGAACTTCATTGTTGTTTGAATGAAATTTGGATGCTGTATTACGATCTAAGAGGATGTGTGAATCTCAATTTCGCAATGTATAAGCGAGCCAAGCAGATGCACGAAGTAGCAGTACTTCTTAATCTGTGTGTCTATATATGTAAAGAATCCCTGTTGACATAAAAAACAACTTCTTGTACATGTTTTTATAGGTGTACGAAATTACAAAAACTGTACCAAAAAGCAGCCATGAAGTTTGTTCGTTCAGTGGCTACGCACAATTTTGCTAATTGAGAATGAAAATGTGGAGTTTCAGTTCACCTCTGGCATCGTTGTTTATTTCCCTTCAAACACGTACTCATTGTTTATTGCTGAGGGAGATGCAATCATGCATTAGTATTTTACCTGTGTATACTCCGAATCACATGGTTACTCTTATTTTTGTGCATCTTCCATTATCTTTTATCTTGAAATAAATTTTGCTGTCGAATGATAAATGTCTAGACATCAATTAGCCAATATTGAGACATGAATACTATCTTTTGTAGCTATCTCATAACACTTCTTTTGGTTGGCTGCTACAGCCCTTTCTGATGACTCCACTCCCAAAGATGGTATTAAATCTGGAAATCATCCATCCTCCAGAAGCAACACTAGCTCGATGATTGCAATCATCCTCCTTGGTCTTTTGGTAGTGGTGTTGTCATTTTTCCTTTTCAAGTTATGGCAAAAAAAGAGACGAGAGGAGCAATATGCCCGACTTCTGAAATTGTTTGAAGAAGACGATGAGCTTGAAGTTGAGCTTGGTCTTCGGGATTGAAGGATATCTGAAATTTACTTCACTGAAGTTGGGTATGTCTTTGAACTCGTCATCCTTTTATTTTTCACCCGAAATAGCTTTATACATATCTGATATGCTGGAGTGGTATTGTCATTTCTTTTAGATGATATGGTTTCTCATGATGAATTCAGTATTAAAAAATCCATCGAACGCCATATGTATGTTTCTATCCATGGCTGCATGACGAGTAATCATTTTTCTTCTCTAATTTTTATCTCATTCAGTCTTTTTCTCTATGATGTTGCCATTAAGTTCTTATTATCCTTGGGAGTAACACACTAAATAATGTTTAATACAAAAGGTAGTTTTATTGATAAATGAAATATGTATTAAGCGTAGAACCCCAAGCCCCAAGAGGAATTACAAAAGGACTTTCCTCATGGCCAAAAGTGTAGAGGGCTTGCATTTGTACCAAGCCCAAAAAAAAAAAAAAAAAACTGAATACAAGAAAAATTCTAAAGGGATTGTATCGCCTTTGTATGTACTGCTGCCGTTTCATACGAAAAAAAAATGGCAGCATGTTTTGTGTCAATTTATGTAGGAGATTCTCAGTTTTGCTTCTCCATTTCTTGGTTTTGGAACCATTTTACATCCTAAAAGGCTAAAAAGCTCTGTACATATCAACCAACTTCTACTTCCCCTATTTTCTCCTCGTTTTGATTTTTTTTTCTTTGCCAACCCTTCATTGCAACGTTGACTCTTTCATCTTGACTTGAACTTACAAATTACAATTAAAAACTCTTAAACGGGAAGTGGAAAAGCCTGTCATGGTGTTTTAAAAGTAAATAGCTTCCTTAGAGACTATGCTTAGGGTGCTTTGTGGGGGCGAGACTATGTAAGACAACATTATATCTATATAAACTTTCAAGTACTATTCGTAAAAGAATGTCTATTTTGAGCACTGCCCATAGGAAAGGTATGATGGAGAAGGCAACATGCTAAGCACTGCCATTAGCATTGCAAGACGTTCTACCAATTAGTATCAGTAAAAATGAATCATAGTTACAAAACAATAACTAGGAGCTGTTAAATATTTTATGATCTTCCCACGCATTATAGAAAAGACCATATAAGAACATTTCCCATAGAAGATGATATTGCAGCAAAAGCTACTCTAATTATTTACTTGTTCAGTGACTTTATGATTTGATGCACTGGCTGTTGTGTAGCTTGTCAGACCTTTTGAAGCTTTTAGACCTAATATATTCGCTTTTATGCTGTTCTTGCGATTACACTCTATACCCTGACTTGCTTGTTTGATTTAGACTGTTCTTGCATCTGCATTCAATAGTGAGCTGTCATTCTTTTTGGGGCCCTCACAAGTTAGGCAGTATATATCAATGTTTATCACACCTCAAATGCTCAAAAGGGGCACTTCTCTTGCTTTTGTCTCTCTTTTGTAAAAAAAGCTACATATAATTTTCAGATTCCTGTACCTTATAATTGACAATATTCCTTCATCTGAAATTCTATCACAGGCTTAGAAAACATTATCTTGGAATTGTTGCATGTCAAATGTCTAAAGATCATAAGATGGTAGTTTGCTGTAAGGTTAGTTTTTTTTTTTTTTCTTTTCTTTTCTACAAATTATATGATGTATTAGTTTATCCAATTGAGGATAAAATGAGTGCTTATAGCATGTAAACTTGATGAATTCAAATATGTAAAATTGATGTTATATAACTGAGTTTATTAAAAGGGTTAAGGTCTCAAATATTTTGTTCTTTCATCGATGCATTTACCGTATGAACATATCAGCTGGCTCAAATATTGATCACATACTTGTGTGGGCTATGATTCATTCTATTTCATCAATAAATTAATAATCACACATTACTTATGATAATTTTTTATATTTGAATTTTTTAAAATGGGAGGATCTACCAGTTACCCAATTAAATTTTTAGGGGTTTTATTAAATATATAATTCAATTTATATCAATTCTATAAATTAATTTTAATTTTTTAAAAAATTTGTTAATCATAAGACGAGTATGCAACTTATTAAAAAAATGAAATCTAGAGACTAAATAAGCAAAATTTTCATTATTTATTTTAAAATATTTTAATTAATTTCAAAGTTAATAAAGTTATAGGCTATGGGTGTGTGTATATATACATATATAAATAAATATATAGAAAGAGATGCTGTTTAAAAGAAAGAGCATGGTGATTTCACAGATGGCTTCTGCTGTCACATTTAATTAACACGATTACCACCCTAAATTACATAAAATCACAACTTAAAGTCTAGAGCAATAACATTTAAATTTTAAGGAGTAAATAAAAACATAACCGTTAAAAGTTGTTGATGGAACTGCATTTGTAATTTAACCTAAATTAAATTGCTACCTTAGGAAAAAAAAATGAAAAAATGTTCAAATGGTGGAGGGGATTCTCCTTCCCTCCCATATTAAGGGAAAAAAAGTGGTGAGCCAATTAACATAGGCCTATCAGATTGAGCAGAGCAAAATCAGCAACACTCTTGACCATGTGAAGGCAGCAAAAGTTAACTTGCTATTCAATGATGAAAACCAGCTTCCATGGGTTGAACAAAGCGTCGACGAAGCTCGTCATCTCGTCGACGCTGTCGGGAAGTCACCATTCCTACTACCTCCCTGTCTTGGCCCGTTTGAGCCCCGTGGTGTTAAATGGAGACATGCTTGGGCTCATACTTGGACTTTCCTCCCTCAGGGTGCCATTTAGTAATGCCAATTCTCTTAGCTGTTGCTTCTTATATTGATCAAGCAATTCATCCTGGAATAACAAAAGCTCCATAAGAGAACAATGAGAGGATTTGTTGGTGATTGAGATGTTTTGTTAATACCACAGGCTTCAAAAGGCTTTCTAACACAGCCACTGCATGATCCAAGCGAGAGTTTATTGTATCCTCTGGGAATTCTGCCTCAACCAAGAGATGCAACGGCTCATTAAGATGCTCATATCCAGGCTTGTCCCTTAGCTTCTCTTCCTAAACCACAACATTCATATCCATTGCAAGTAGTATCAAATGCTCCCATATCCATATTCAGAACATATATTAAAGACATTAAAGAAAGGCTGACTACTCGAAATCTATAATCGAGCAGTTATCTCAAAGACGAGAGAGCGAGAACTCATAAGAGAAAGCGAGTAAAATATGTTGAAATATCATCTATCATCACTAGTCCAGTAGGGTCAAACCCAATAATTGTATGAGCCCATTGTATATTTTCTACAAAGTGTTTTGTAATCTCTTTTCGATTAGTGTTAATAAAAAGTGCGAGTGTTTCCCACAAAGAGTTATGTTCAACAAAATATGTATATCACACGTTAGACAAGATTAACTATAAAAAATAAAAGAGTAAAATACAAACACCGAGTAGTTTTTTCAGTACCTCTAAAGCATCCTTGATAGAGCCCTTGCCTCTTATGTACACCCTACATTCTGTCAAGGCTTCAACTCTTTTCAAGGAGTTTCCACGCGGTCCCAGAAGTCGTCCAACGAAATTATACTGCCGTGATTTGAGCAAGAAACTACTAACATCAGAGAGGCAAAAGGTCAGTACAATCACCACCTAACATAAAAATATTTGAACTTACATTTGGATATTTGTCAACAGGTACATCAAGTCTAACGACTCTCTTAACTATCGGTGTCGTAGGAATTCCTTGAACCCTCGGCCATGCCATTGAATGAGCTTGAAGGGGCCCCAAACTGTGGACATGTCCACTTCCCTGCAGTAGAAGTATTTTATAACTAAACCACACGTGTAAATTACAAATACGAAGAACTACAAATTCTATTTCGAGAATGCTCGGGTCAGAACCAACGAGTACCGCTGTAGTAAGGACTAGGGACCTCTGAAGATACCCTACAAAGTTCAGGATTCAAGCCCAGATGAAATTTTAATAACTAGGTAGGCTATTGTCAAACTTGGTTTTCCAATTTTTCAAAAGTATTCTCATACCAAGAAATCACTGATTAAAGAGAAAACCTTCCTATTGAGTAACTAGCAAAACTAAAAAGAAATAGATCAAGGACAATCGACTTTAAATATACGAAAAAATTTAAATCCAGTAGGATATTTATAGATTTACCTCCATTTGCATTGGAGGCCAACCTTCCAAGTCCATTGGCCTTCCGTTCGATAGCTGGCCTAATGACCTGTAAGGGCTCCCGTGCTCAAATCTCTCATGATCCACGGAAGTTTGATTGAGGCCCGATAGACGTCTGATCTCTGCAACGATAGATAATAACTTAAGGGGTGTTCATGCAACTGACTTAAGAAATACTCGTGTTTAAGATGGTTACGGGCGAATTGCAGATAGTTGGCTTGTTACTCATAGAAAATTATCACCACATGCCTATTCATGTGGGGCAGAGGATCCAAAAAACTGTAAAGAACATGTCTTAGATGCATAGCATCATCCCAAGTTCGTTAACATCATTTTTTATGGGCGAAGACGTAGAAAAGATTGTAGTCGACTATGGTCTGATTAATTACGAGTTGACAAAGACTGAGTAAGGTAGGAAAATACATTTTTGCCTCCGTCCACATGGAGAAGATGACACTCTTGGAGATAATCTCAAGTACCTCGAGGTAGAATGGATTTTGAATTTTTTAGCAAGCTCGAGCCAAACAACCACAAAGCTCTCTCTCCCGCAGCCACCACCGAACCTCTATTTACAACTGGTGGTCGCAAACGAACACAAAGCTACTCTCTTAAACTACCTTATGAATGGCAAAGACTATACTACTCCATGCTACATGTTCCATCATACTGGTGAACTTGGGGTGTCCCACATCAACTGGAGAAGGGAACGAGTGTCAGCAGGAATGTTGGGCCTCAAAGGGAGGTGGATTGTGAGATCCCACATCGATTGGGGAGGAGAACAAAACATTCTTTATAAGGTGTGGAAACCTCTCCATAGCATACGTGTTTTAAAAATCTTGCTAGCAGTAGGTTTGGGCCGTCACAGTGACAAATTCCATCATTTTGCTCGTTGAAGATTCGCTTCGCTAATAGCAAGTGACAATATCTCCTTCAACAATTGTTCTACCTGACCAAACATGATTAGCATCTTCTTCACCATTATTGAACTTGCTTGCTTTTGAGTCAACGAATTCCTGTCACCAACACCTTTCAGCATCTTAAATTTTCTTCTATAGAAAACCCACCTGAGCCTTAAGCTTTTCTTTCATCCAACAAGTTATTGCCTACATTGATGCTCTAATACCACTTGATAGATACCATTGATTCCACTAATGTCAGCGGCATAAGAAATAAGAATAGATATTTCAATAGTCAAAATGCAAAGTAGAGAGAGATCATGAAAACCCACCCTGATTCAGAAGTCTGCTACAATGAGGCAAAACCTGCACGAAAGGACCCAATTTCTGTCTCTCTGACAGTAATTCAGCAAGATACCTGCCATTTTCACACAACACAAAATCACCATCACATACAACACATCACGTCCAAAAGAAACACAACTCCATACTCAGAGTAGCACAGACAAAGATTATCAAACCAACACAACACAACACAATTAAAAGAGGACGTTATACATGATGAATCAAACAAAGAAAGAATCAGAATGAATCAGCAGTAGATAAAGAAAAGCAAAAAATGATGAAGAAAAATTACCTCTCCCGATCTAAGGGAATGGATGGAGTCCTGTGAGGAGATGCGTGGGCAGAAGGGGGAGGGTAATGGAAGTAACTCCCAGGTGGGGTTCTCTCCCCCATCATGCATAAACTAGAAAACAAAACAGAAGAAACCCAGAAGTGGAGTTGGGTTAACAAGTCGAGAAGAAGAGTGATATTAGCGTTTGCAACAAAAAAGAGAGCGACCCAGATGGGGAAAGAGGCTACCTTCGCAGAAAGAGGGAAGAAGAAGATGAATCTGGGGCAGAGAGATACAGGGGAAGTCGGTTGAATGGGAAGGGGAAGAAAAGAAAAAGGCCTGTGGAGGAAGAACAAAAACCAGAGGGAGATCGCGTAGTGGTGTGAGTGAATCTTAATTTTACAGTATATGTTTTGTTTTGATTTGTATGTGGTAGTTGGAATCAATGGGTCAGTGGTGGCATTGGCAATGGAGGAAGGAAGGAAGGAAGGAGTGGGGAATGGGATTTTTGACAATATGGTGTGGTGTGGTGGAGACTGGATGCGTCTTTTTCTACCAAAACCAATATCCTTACCTTTCTTTTCTCTCTCTCCGAACTGTTTTTCTTATTTTACCATTTTACCCCTATCCCCACGTGGAACTGGACCCTACTTCCTGCCCCCATCTGACAATACCTTTTTCTTTGTTTCCTTCCTTATTTAATATTATAGGTTTTGTTTTTAAATCTTCCATATTTGGGTTTATTTGTTTTTTTTTCTAACTTTAAAATAATTTTGTGTATTACAATTTCTTTTAATTTTTAAAAAATATTGTTTCAATGTAAATGGTTTCTATTTAGTATTCTTTTGAAAATTTGTAAACTTAATAGACATCTACCAATTATAAAATTCAATTTTATATCTCATATAATTAATTAATTTTTTAAAATATAGAGTATGTATTAAATTTATTAGGCATTAACATTAATTTTTAAAAGTATAGTATCTAAACTTATAATTAACTTAAAAGTTAATCTTTCCTTTGTTTAAATTCTATGGTTTAATAAGATGTTGTAGTTATATTAAAATAAGAGGGTAATTGTATTGACTTTCAAGGTTATTTCAATGGGTTTATAAATAAATACCTAAAAGATGTATTTATGTTAGTTTTTATTACATCATTTAAAAAAAAATAAACAATCTAATATAAAATCTCTACAAAATTGAAGGTTTAAAATAAAGGCATTTAAAAATTTATACATCACATCGCATAACATTTAACTAAAATTAAAATAATAATAATAATAAATGACTAATAACTAGAGATAATAGCTTTTTTGTTTTCGGACATAGGCTATTTCTGAACATCTAACCTCTAAGTCGATTGTATGAATGAATGCCGATGTCAGTTAAAACCAGACTCATTTTGGAATTATGAGTTGAGTTCTTTGGATGCTAAGAATGTTAACTGCGATGATACTCAAGTATGTTAGAAAGAATATGGTCAATAGCCACTTTAAATTCAACGGTTCTTAAGAACAAAACTAGTTGGATACACATAAGCCTCACGGATATTAAAATAAGACATTCACATTTGATTCTCCAACATAGAGATTCCATAAAAACAGACAAACTCTGAAATGAACCGCTCAATAGTGTTTCTGACATGAGATCTCAATGATCTCTTGAAAAAAAATGTAAGTAAAATATAAATTATATGAAAATTATACACCAACGAAATCCAAGCAAACAAGCATAACAGAATAGAGTTGGTAACTAGAAAGAAATGCGTAAGCAGATGACCAAGAACAGAGGGAGAGAGAGAGAGGAGAGTTACAAAAAATTGTGGGGATATTTTTCTGAACTTAAGAAGAGGAGCAACAAGCCTTCTTTGAATTGGCCTCTGATTCACCAACCACAATGGTTTTTCCTTCCTTGATGTTAGCAGCAGCAGGCTCATCCGAATTGAGGGACTTCTTACTGATTATCCTATATATCTCTGAGAGAATGGTTTGGAAAGCCTTCTCCACGTTTGTTGCTTCAAGAGCAGAAGTTTCAATGAATGACAGCCCTTCTTTCTCGGAGTAGCTCTGTGCGTCTTCTGTCGCCACTGCTCGGAGGTGTTTCAGATCGGTCTTGTTACCGATTAACATGATGACTATGTTGGCATCTGCATGGTCCCTAAGTTCCTTCAACCAACGGTTTACATTGTCGAATGTCATCGGTTTCGTTACATCGTATACTAGAAGGGCTCCGAGGGCACCCCTATAGTAAGCACTGGTTATTGCTCTGTAACGCTCTTGACCGGCCGTGTCCCATATCTGAGCTTTCACGGTTCTTCCCTCAACCTAATATAAAGTATGTAGCATTTCTTTTCTTGGTAACTTTGATAGTCAAAGCGCAGTAGAAAAAGAAAAAAGATAACATTTTCTTTCAGTTCAACAAATGCGACACTAATATCACATAGCCATTTGAGGATGACATCGATCCAAGAAGTTCCAAAAATCTATTATCAAAACGTCTATGTGTAACAGGACACAAACTAAATAAAAATTTCTATCTACCAGCCATAGTCCAAGAAACTGAGATTTAAATGACTTCATATTGCAGTGTAAACCAGGTGGTGCGGGTAGAAGAATTGTATATGCTTCTTCATTGTTAAACGATTTGTAAAATGCTTGTCCTTTTTAGGAGAACACTCGAATGGTTTAAACTGTAAATTTGCATGATCGAAATGTGTATAAGAACTAAGATAATAATTGTATTACCAGAAAAGGAGTCGTTAATTCAGATTCATATTTGGCGTTAAGGTTTTGTGGGAAATTAATCGGCATAAAAACAACCAATCATGATCTGCAGATGTATCTCCACTAAAAGTTAGGATTAAATCTCTAGCCCATACCAGATCAGAATCTGAATAACTTCGATCAAAAGTTATAAAACTAAACAAATCCATAGACATTTTTCTCAATTCATCGTCCTAATTCAAAGCAGTAAAAAGACGACCAACTTCCGGCATTCCCCTAAATTAAAACGAAACTTACCAGGACAACCAATTGAAAACACAGATCCGCAAGAGAAGATGCATAATCTCAATTCAAATAAAACCGCCAGTCTTAAACGGAAAAAAAAAAAAAAAAAAAAAAAAAAAAAATCAGATCATTACTTGAAGTACAACAAAAAAAAATTCGCGTTCCCGCGAATTTTTACATAGATCGAGAATGTAAAGCACACAAACATACAACGAACGCAGATATAAATACCGAAATGAGAGAGAAAATTGAGAGAGAGACCTGAAGGGTACGAGTGGCGAATTCGACGCCAATGGTGGACTTGGACTCCAAACAAAACTCATTCCGAGTGAACCGGGAAAGAAGGTTGGATTTTCCAACGCCGGAATCGCCGATTAGCACAACTTTGAAGAGGTAATCGTAGTCATCGTCGGGTCTCCGGGCCATATTATCTCGGTGGTCTCTCTATCTCTCTCTCTCTCTCTGATTCCTGGTTCTGAAGATTTAGCTTTCCGAAATCTCGGAAAGCAAAATTGAAGAAATTGTCCCTCCGAAATCGGGTGCCCCACTTCGAAAATGAAGACAATACGGAGAGACAGCCGACTTCAAATACTGGGATTGGCACCAACTTGTATGCCCAAAACTACCCTTCCAGATATGGGCTTTTTCGACGAACCTCCCAACCCAACATTGTTTTTCTGTTTTTCTAAATTTTAATCCAACGATGTGTTTGAGTCGAAAATGAATTCTTTTTCCAGATGTATTCTTACCGTTTTATTTACTACAAATAGAACGGATATGTTTATTTGGTATGTTGAATCAAATCTCGTTTGGTTTCTTGTTTCTAGAATTTCTTGATGACCAGGGGATTATTTGATACACCTATTTGTTTGTAATGGTTATACCAGTTTTGTTTTATAAGTCAAATGCTCTACCATTTAGAATTGATTTGGTTTATCTATTTTGTGTTTTGTCCATGATTTAATGATTTTTAGTGTTAGGTATTAGAGATCTTTTGATTACATAAGTTCAAGACCTAGTTTACACGGGAACTTTAGTAAGAGCTCTCTCTTTTGATTTCATATTGATAAGTTACTTCGGTCTCCCTCTAATATTACTTCGGTCTCCGTTAAGCATATTATGGCGTGTTTCTATACTTGGTCGAGAAATCTTCTTTCTTATCTTAGTAGGTTTATAATATAAGTGTCAACTCCTTATGTTTAAAATGAGTTAAAAGAACAGAATATCGAAAGAGTTTAAGAACCTAAACTATTTTCTCGACCATCCAAAAAAGTGAATCTGAATCCTGAATTGTATCAACATTGTGTATCATCTTGGCGGGTTTGCATAATAAGATTATGCACAATGAATTTTCATTTACAAGAATCAAACTAAAAATATCACGAGCACATGAAATTTGTTTATGAAACCTATACACATCTACACAAGTATTTCCTTCGTAGGAAATTTAGTTCAAAAAATAAAGCATAAAAACGAATAAAAGAATACAATAATGATTCAGATATAGCACAAAGAAAAGAAGACTATACCGCCATCTTTGATTCTTTTCCTTCCAATTATCTACACAGACTAACTGACTGACTGTATTTGTTACTCCCAAAATGCCTTTCTCGAGCTCCATTGACCACTTTCTGCCCTATCCATCCTACCACAACCATTCGCTGCAAACTCATCAGAGTATCCATATCTGTTCCAGACTCCAAATCCTCTCTGCTGCTGTCTACTAGATATCTGGTGGCTGACACTAGGACCCTTTGGACTCCTTCCAAAATCGGCCCGACCCATAGGCGGCGACGGTGAAAGAGGCATGGGAGCTCTTTCGGGGGCATTACATCTGCTCAACTCTTGTGGATGTCTAGAAGGCTGGTAGCTATGGTTTTGTTGATAGTGGTAATGACGTTGCTGAATGTGGTGTTTACTAACTGGAATGACAATGGGGGGAGGTTGAAGGTTGTTGAAGCTGCAAAGACTAGGAGAGCTATGGACTTTGTGCATAGGAGGGCGGCTAGGCTTGATGCTATTCCAAGAGAATGGTTCTTGGGCCATAGATTCAGCAGTTTGGGCATCTGGAGAAGATGATTTTGGCGATGAACATGCAGATGAAAGGCTGAATGTAGGCCGGCTAGCATTAGAAGGGGAGACTTTTGAGCTTGCAGTAGAGCTGCACAGGACAATGCCATTAATGGCTTCCAGATAACGTTGCTCAATTGCTTGAGGATCTGCAAAGAACGGTCGAGTCTCAACAACAATTGGGTTTGAAGGAAATAAGAAACACCGAAGTTTAGGAGTTCCTTCACTCTCAAGCCGATCGTATTCATCAAGCATATGCTTTAAATCTTCATCAGACCTCACAGAGACCAACACATCAAGATCCTCAGGAAACAACTGATACTTCAGCACCATATCTCCATCAAATAAAGCCGTCACTTTCTTCATTAGATCTAAGCAAGATAGAGTAGAATAAGATGAAATCCGAAACTAAATATCTTGAAATGTTCACTAATTTTCGTTACCATTGAAGAATAATTCATGGAACTTTCAAGAGAGATCACTGAACCTAAATCTGTACAATGTGTTTCACAAATTTGTCAAAGATCCTTTCCCAGAAAACAAGAAAAAAATAAAACTATTCGATGTGGTTAGCCCTAACAATCTTAACATTTGATATTCGAAATCCAATTTCTTAGTCGTCCCATACATTTGAACCTTACACAGAAAGCACTTCAAATCACTCCAGAAGAAACAAAATCATATAAATTTCACTTGATAAAAAGCAATCCAACAAGATTTTCCCGCTGATCATAATTCGTCAGATTAAAAACACGGCAAGAAAACTTAAGAGAATCGCAATCTCAAAAACAAGGGCAGAAAAATCAAACGATAGAAACCTGAAAATTTGATATCACGCTGCATAGCGATGACGCGCGTCTCGCCGCCAACATACTTGAGATGGCCATCGGTGGGCCTAGGGAGGATCTTGCCGCCATAACTGCAAAGAAACTTCAACTTGCTCTTAGGCGACAATGTGGGAGTCTCGTCTCCTCCTCCTCCATTGCCACCGCCTTCGCACGCCATTTTTCTTATCGGCCTCGACCAAGTCACTGGATTGAGTCGCCTCAAAATCAACCAAAAAAATAACGGATAATTGCTTGAAGTCGATGTAATCTGTAATGAGTAGAAAGGCAAATGAAATTAAGAAGTATTAGGGGAGTCAATGGAAAACTCAGAGACGGAATGGATTGGATTATTCACAAACTGCAAAAGGGGAAAATGGAGAATGAAGATGAGGCGAGAATTGGAGAGATTTGAGGAAACAAACTCAATCCAAAAATGGATAAATGATAATGAAAATCCATCTGAAAATGTCAAATAGAGATTCAAACGTTTGAAAGATACTCTCTCTCTCTCTCAAATCCGTTTTTTGTATTTTTGTTGAGAATTTGTTAATTTTTCACGTCCGCCAACCATTTTTTTCAAAAAAACCCTCGCCTCTCCTTTTCCGGAAGTTTTCCATTGAAATTACAAATTTGGCCTCATTCAAGTTTTATCCATTTATCTTTATTGAGATGTCCATAAATGACTTTCTTTTTCTTTTTTGTAAAAATACAAATCATAATTAAATTTTATTAAACATGAAATTAAAATTTACATCTTAAGGGGTTAATTTATTTTTAAAATTTTCTAAGTTTATCCACCAAACTCTTAAAAATCATAAATTATTAAATTTAAGCTCCCAATTTATTACTGGATTTTTCTTTCTTTTTTTTTTTTAAATGAGATCCTCCATTTTTTTTTAAAAAAAAGTCAATTATTTAAAGTTAATATAAATTGAACTATGAACCCTCCTAACATTTATAAAAAAATACTTATAAATCATTTTTAAATTTTTTATTTTTTTCAACTTTTTAAACACGTTGAAAGTTATGTATTTTTAAAATACTTTTAAAAAAATTTGATATGAATTTAGAAGAAAAAAAGTTTAAAATACTTTTAATTTTTTTTTTATAAATATAAGAGTATTAATACACATTATACTTTTGTGAGGGTAAAGTTTTTATTAATTTAGCCGCAAGAAACTAAAATATAAATAATTCATATATTTGACAAATAGTAATTCTTCAATAATAAAATAATTTTCTAGAGAGAGAATATGAAAAGTTGGATTTGTAGAGAGAGAAAATTTTGTCAAAAAGCAGAGATGGCAGTGATTCGCAGACCGACTGACTACGCGCATCAAACTCTACAAATCAAGAAAAAAAAAATACAGAACAATAGGAACATGTATGATCAAACTACCGCCATTACTCTCCTTGAACCGACGAACCACAACCAACTCCAAGCCCGAAGACAATCAATCAACGTACACAAATTCTCATTTCTCATCACAAAAAGAACAAAATATCAAACGATACTTTACGGATTCGTTAATTATAAAATGCTCATCAATTTCAAAGCTACAGTCCAAAAAGTCGCTTACAAGCTCTAACGATCTTCCCAGCCGTGTTCGTCTTCTTCTTCCTTACAGATCCTCCCGCATTTCGGCCTTCCTTCGATTCTTCGCCTTCGATTTCATCGTCGTCGATCGGCGATGCAAGCGTCCCGAACTGATCGTGAATCCTACTGTACCGCTCCGCCACAGACGAAGATCGTCGCATCGACAGAGCTCTCTTCACTGCCGAGTGGAATCCGGAGGCCGATGCAGAAACAGAGCAGTTCCGTCTCAGTGTAGAGGCAGTAGCGGTTGCAGCGCTGCGGTATTCGTCTTCTTCCTCCTCTGGCAAGCAACCATGCGGCGGCTCCCGCGACCGATTCGTCCTGTTTTGATCGAAATCGCGAGAGTTCGGATTGGAGACGGCAGCGGTGAATCTAAGAGAGTGAGGGAGCGATGAAAGATCGGAGTAATCTACAGATCTTGATTTCAATTTGCAGGCGGCTTCGATCTTGGAGTAGGTATCGGCCATTTTTGTCGTCTCTTGAGTTTGGGGATTGGGGGAGGACTACGGCAGAAAATGGTGAGAACTGGTTGGAGGTTTATAAAGATTGATGGCGGTAATTGAATCGAAGGATGCGACAAAATATTATCAGAGAGATTCAAATGAACTGTTCCTGTAAATTTTTCGTTGAATTTAGATATCATACCATTACTAATAAAAAAAATGGTTTACTTAACACCGCAAAAGTAATTAATTACAAAATAATGCTTTTTAACCAAAATGATGTCAACTCTTAGATCAATATACTTTCATTTCATGATATTATTCTTGGTTTTCTTTGCATGTTCGACTCCGAGCACTCCTGTCATTCACAAAAAATAAGAAAAAAAACTCATTTTTTATTGCATCTGGTACGAGATGATAAAAGAGAGTTTTGTTTATCGATAAACAACAGATTGATAGAACTCCCAAATTACTTTGGCTTTTGGACATGTACGACAGTTGGACAAGGATAAACATAGACATAAATTCCGTCCCAATAAATACTGAGGGATTGATTAAAATGGAAGATATGGGAAATTTCAAATCTAAATATGAAAGGAATCCCAAAAAAATTTGAAAGTTTGGCATGATGGCAAAAGGACAAGTCGTTTAAATATGAAAATTTGGTTTTATTTGGAGATGAAAATGGGGTATGTGAAAGACATGTGACAGCATGTGTGGTTTCCAATTTCTCTGCTCCTAATATTGTGCCAAACTTTGTGCTCCAATTTTTTATTTTTTAATTATTCGTATAATATTATATTGTATGGTTGCATTAATGCATAAAATAAACCCATCAAACATTACAGACATGATATGATTCTTATATGTATATAACAAATAATAATGGTCTAAAGTAATTGAAAAATAAATTAATTAGTAAAAAAAAAAAGAGAAAAAAAGGTGAAATTGATTTATTGAAAAAGATAAATTGTTGAATTTTATCCCTTTGCGTACACGCGGAGAGACCGAGGAATACCAGGAAAATAATTTTGAAAAGGTGTAGAATAATTCAATATATATATATATATTTTATTGAGAAATAAGATAATGGAGCACTTACGTAATTAATACAAAAAAAGTGTAAAACACACGAAATGATAATAATTCAAGAAAAATAAAACCACGTAAATATAAAATAATAAGATTTTTGAAGTGAAAATTAAAACATTACATATTTATTCTAATTCTCAAATGTTTGAATCTCATAAAATATATATATATATATTTAACAAAAATAAAAGATGAGGGGTGAGTTTTTTAAGGCGTCACAGGCAGTTAAGTTAGCAATACCCAATTTGGAAAAAAAAAGAACCGGACAGTTTGACTGTGTACAAGCTTCTCTCACGTGTCCACTTTGGTCAAACCCTCCAAAGAAGAATTTAGTTTTATTTTTTCCATTTTTGTTTTTTTTCCTTCTGAAAAAAGAAAGAAAAGAACGCCATGTTTGTTTGATATTTCCTTGGCTGCTTCTAGGGCTTGCACTTTACTTCTCCCTCTCAATTTCCATCTTGCCCTTAGGGTTTTCTTTCGTCTCTCTAAACTCGCTCTGCAACTTCAATCTTCAATTCCGGATTTTTCAGTGTAAGCATTGGGACTTTGTCCGTTGTTTTTGTTGTTTTCTGTTTGACTCATTTGGTTTCTTCGACATTTCCATTGTATTTTGTTATTATATACTTCTGGATTTGAGCTCTTAATTTGCATTTTTGGGGTTCTCATTTAGCTTTAGAGTATGATTGCTGCTACCCCACTGGATTTTGGGTTCGGTGATGATTGCCTGAACTGTATAGATTGTGCTTGGGTCAGTTTTTTGTGCTAATATAACTTGGGATTTGATTGGCTTTTGATTGGCTGAAGTGTTTGTGGAGATTGGATTTAGCTTAGTTGTCTGAGCTGGATTTGTATTATGTTCGCCTCGTATGTTGGGTCTTAATTTAATTTTAACTTTTCTTCTTGTTTCCGCTTAGTATACTGTTTATATAGTTTGTATTTGCCGCTACTGTATAGTGTTCATCTGGTCGAGGTCAAGAGTGATGTGTATTTGAGTTATGGCGCTTAAAGTTCATCCTTCCAAGGCAGCTGAGGTAGCCATTGGGTCTATTGGTCGTGGATACGACATAACGACAGATCTAAGGCTCAAGTACTGTAAAGGGAATTTTCATGGTTCTCGGTTGATAGAAATTGATGAAGGTGTAGGTCATGAGATTGTTCTTCCTGGTGGGATTTCGATCTCAAATGTGCCCAAGTCGATTAAGTGTGACAAAGGGGAGCGAACCAGGTTCAGGTCTGATGTTCTCTCTTTCCAACAGGTATTTCTCTTAATTTTAATGCTTGGATTGCTATGGATCTGGTACCATAATTTCCTTCTGAAAAGATTTAGTATGATTATGCTGTAGAGTAGTGCATGACTAACCTATTTTTGGTAAAATCAGTTTGGCCTAAATCTCTGTTGAAATGGAGATAAATTTTTGGGTGAGAGCGGATGAATTTTGTATGACTCTTCATACGCTCAAAATTGCGTCCATTGAGAAGCCAGTGTCGTTAATTGGATTTAACTTAATGGTTTGCTTTATGTTAGAAAGTGCATGCTCCGATCTGATCACGACAATTAGAATTCTCTTGTAAAGACTAAAGGCTCCCAGCTATTTTATTTCTGCTTTAGGTGCTGTGAGAACCACCTCCCTTATCTGTTTGTTGAGAGGAAAAAAAATTATGAAAAAGAAAATACCAATTTTTCATGTTGTCTCAATGCAATGGTGCGAAACCATACTGTTCTATGGTTTTGTGCTTTCTCAATGTGTACTAACCATCTAGCATTCAAAATTTAAAATGCAGATGTCAGAGCAGTTCAATCAGGAGATGACTCTGACTGGTAAAATTCCTTCAGGTCACTTCAACACCATGTTTGAGTTTTCAGGATGTTGGCAGAAAGATGCAGCCAATACGAAGAACCTAGCTTTTGATGGGGTCTTCATTACCCTGTATACAGTTGCTTTGGAAAAATCACAGATGGTACTCCGCGATCACGTAAGAAAAGCTGTGCCATCATCTTGGGACCCTGCTGCACTTGCGAGGTGTGTTCTTTTTTACAAGATATGGAACCATATTTTTCTTGTGTGAAATTTCGTGTCATATTCCTTCTAGTTCACACTCCTATACTTTGTTTTAGTTCTACAAGATTAGCAGAGAACAATGGTGATGTCCTTAAGTTGAGTGTTCAATATAATAATTAACTGGACCACTTGATTTGAGAGGAACGAGAGAGTTGTTAATTGTGTAAAAATGAAAGAGACTTAAGTTGCTTTAATGTCTCTCTTTGGATGTGTTATAAAAGAAACAGGAGAAAAAAGAAAATGAATGCCTAGTTATTTGCTTATATTTTAGCCACAGTAAATTTCAATATCAACTTTGGCTATGAACATTGATGTTAAAAAGGTTGAATTGTGTTCTTCACCCTTTTCAAGAGAATTAATCACATTACCTACTTAATTTAGGTTTATTGAAACCTTTGGCACCCACATTATTGTTGGCTTTAAGATGGGAGGAAAGGATGTAATATATATGAAGCAGCAGCATTCATCTACTCTTGAACCTTCTGAAGTGCAGAAGAGATTGAAGGACATGGCAGATAAAAGGTTTACGGAGACCATGGGACAATACGGAATGGGTTCTGAATGGATTTACAACGATAACAAGGTTTATGATATTTGAAGCACAATATTTTTCTCATTCATATAGAAAGGTTTCACCTAAATCTAATCATATTTTGTTTCAGTTTGAAAGTAGGGAGCAGCATTTGCAGTTTTCCGATGCTAGCTCTGCAATTTCTGCACTGAAGGAGGTAATATTTATTGAGTTATTTTGTTGAGAGAGTTGTTGAATATCACTACCATGCTTGCTCTTATATCAATCATTATATTGTTGAAAGTGATGAGAAACTTTGGATTATTTTGACATATTTTCTAGTACATCAATTTGCTTGCCAGGACATTTTAACCATTTACAAGAGAAGAGGTGGAAGTGACAGGATTAACCTCCCTCATCATGAGTGGTTGCAGACAGTTCAGTTGGAGCCGGACGTGATCTCAGTGTCCTTTATCCCAATTACTTCTTTATTGAATGGAGTTCCAGGAAGTGGATTCTTAAGCCATGCAATAAATCTTTATTTGCGATGTGAGTAATGTACATCCTGCTAGCAAACTCTAAATGAAGAGCTGTGGATATGCTGCGGATCTCAAAATGTTCACATTCTCTTGAATTTTTCTTACATCCTTTTCATTATTGCAGACAAACCACCAATTGAAGAGCTTCATCAATTTTTGGAGTTTCAGCTCCCAAGGCAGTGGGCGCCAATATTCAGTGAGCTTCCACTTGGTCCTCAGCGGAAACAACGCAACTTGGCATCTCTCCAGTTTAGCCTTATGGGATCAAAGCTTTATGTGAATACTACTCCAGTATGGTTTCTTTTCTCCAACCTTTTGTTTTATGCCTATTGCATTAAATTATGAATGATCTGTAGGCTTATATCTTCTATAATTCATAACTTAGAAAAGTTTGACCTTGAAATGTTCACATAGTTAACCCAAGGGTTGGACATGATATCATGGCATCTCTAAACCAGCCAATTTGTATGAATATTCTCTGAACCAGACATGATATCATGAATAATCTGTAGGCTTATACCTTTTTCCACAAAGTTATATTTTTGTTTTCTAGATAGTTTCTTACGTGAATGCCTCCAGAAGAACTTTTGCTCTAGTTATCATCCAAAATTATTTAGTTCATAGTTGGATAAGATAAGTGAAATCATTCTACTGTCTTCTATCAAACTTCGTGGCACTGAGATAAACGAAATCTATCACCATTTTGTTTGAATTTTTGTAACGAACTTAGTGTTTTCTGGTGTAAGAATGCTTGTGGATCATGGGAATTAGTGGGAAATTCTGACTACAATGTGGTAGAAGACTCCTACTTCTATAGCAGTGGCCTCTCAAGCGTTTGGTATATCATAGTGCTGGTTCCTTGGACTTCGTAATACTGCCTTGATTTCAGAATTCTTCTCTTTGTCTGGGGAAGACTTCAGAAAAATAGAACAAATAGATTGAATTCTCGTAGTGGAATTGCAAATTTTTTTGAGATCTAATATTAACATGAAGAACCAATGTTGTTGGCCAAGTGTCTTTATAGGTATAGGAAACAGAAAATTGAAAGACCTATGATTCACTTATGTCTTCCATCACAGGTTGATGTGGGTAGGAGGCCAGTTACAGGTCTCCGGCTTTATTTGGAAGGTAAAAGAAGCAACTGTTTGTCCATCCACTTGCAGCACCTCTCCTCTTTACCCAAAAGTTTTCAACTTACGGAGGATCCAAATAATAACTCCGGTCAGGAGTCTTACGATCGCAGATATCTTGAAAAAGTTCAGTCCAAGTACTTTTCTCATGTTTGCACTGCTCCTGTCGAAGCGGACGAGGATCTTTCAATAGTTACTGGGGCACAGTTACAGGTTGTGAATCATGGGATGAGAAATGTTCTGTTTCTGCGACTCTTCTTCTGTTCAGTTTTGGGAGCTACAGTTGTAAAGCAGGCAGAGTGGGAAGGTTCACCTGGACTGGCCGCCAAGTCTGGACTTATATCAACACTTATCAGTCATCATTTCTCAGCAGTTCAGAAACCGCCTCCAAAACCAGCTGATGTGAATATAAACTCTGCTGTATATCCTGGGGGTCCACCAGTGCCTGTACAAGCCCCTAAGCTCCTGAAATTCGTCGATACCACTGAAATGAAGAGAGGGCCCCAAGAAACTCCTGGGTATTGGGTTGTCTCTGGGGCAAGACTCATGGTGGAGAAGGGGAAGATCTCCCTTCGGGTTAAGTTTTCTTTACTAACTGTCATGTTATCCGATGAAGAAGAAATCAACGACAATTAGCTCGTTTTGTTCGTTTGTTTGAAGACTACCAAGATCATCGAGAATCAGCACATTTTGAAACGAAGCATAACTAGACAGAACAATCCATGAATCCAGAACTCTACAAGGGGTGAAGCAATGTGGGAAGATAATGTTGGATGATTCTGCTGTGTAGTCAATTACAATTCAAAAGGGGAGTCATCTATGTTGGCAATGTAATTTACTTTTCGTGTACGTAATACGATTTTGAAGCAATGAAGATTTGTACATAACATTTTCAGGTCTTCTGTGGATAAGTAGAGATTTTAAATGTTCCTTGTGTTTGTAGCCATATATGAGAGCTTATACAGAAACACTTTCCTTTCAAAATGTTGAATTTTAAAGCACCTTCTCAGTGCAGTGAGGAAGTGAAGTGATATCTACTTGCACCTTGAAATCGTGTAAGAACTTGTGCCATTCTTTTATAATCAATTTACAGATCAGAAACTGAAAAAGAACATAAGCATTTGAGCAAATCTCCCAGTGGGTGAAGGAGCACAAGAATTATTATTCTGAGAAGAAGCAAAGCTGACAGTTTTCCTAAATGCAGCAGCTGCTTCCAATAGAGGCAAGAAATACCATCTTTGTTTCAAGGGCCTGAAAAATTATGGTCGTGAGATGGCCAATAAGTCCCCTCTCTTTGGCATGGCAGAGGGGCTGGCTGGGCAATGAAGGTGGGGATATGCTGACCTGGCATCAACACTGAGAAATCAGCTGCATATGATGTTGGCACCTGCCACAGAACAAAAACATATCATCTCCCATGTCCAATGCAGTGTCTTGTCCTTGAAAGAAAAGCATGTATTGTGTTATGATTGGTACTGGTTTGTGTTGATGTTCTGTGTCTTGTCACTGTTCTGATAAAAGATAATGTTCTTGAAGATGACAAGAAAAAATAGCAGAAACAAACCTAGTTAGGATATTATGAGTGTTTTTCAACGCACGTACGAAGAGTTCTATGAAGAGTTAATGAAATTTTAGAAGAGTTAATTATGATTGTTTTTCCAAATGCCCATTTTCATTAGAGAAACGTCTCAAGGTGACTTTATCTACTACGAGTGGAGGACTAGGAACATATATCTCATATTCTAAAAAGTGGTACACATAATTATACTAGCTTTAGAATTAAGAAAGAAGAGTATGCTTTAAGTTGTTTTCACCTACAGGTCTCTAAACAAATCTGTTCAAGGGGAAGGGGACTTGATATAGGATATGATGTAGTTTAAAACCTAAGCCACTGAAACACTTGTTTATGGGAAAGGGAAAGCAGTAACGAGTTAAATAATATCAAAGGTTGGTAATCTAAGCCCCACAAGCCAAGAAACACAAACTGTAAAGGTAAACAACCCGAGTCGAAACGTACCGTATTTGGACTAGCGAATTTCTCGACCGGACCTGATTGTGCAAAGTTGTTGGTCACTTCACCAGAGGACGAGAAAGAAGAAGTTGGTCTAAACAAATGCTCAAAGATGGCCATGATAAGGAACATGGATATCAAGATTGCAGTAGCAACAAAGCCAAAGGAAATGGCATTCATGGAGGATCCAAAGTTCTTCCAAGGAGCTTCTTGACCAATGCCTGTTTGAGATGATGGGCTCTGGTCTGGAGTTGTGTATATGTTCCATGACTTTGATCTTTCAGAACCAATCTCACTCATACCTTTAACTTTGAGATGGTGGCTTATCTCTTCCTCAACTAAAAGCTTGGAGCAAAAACGAAGCTGATAAAAATGGCTTCTACATAAGAATGTATAGCTGATGATCCATATCCCTGAAAAGAAACTGAGTCTCAGCATTCTTATTAGAATCCCATTTCCAAGGCAGAGGCACAAGAAGAGAATAATAAACAAAATTCTAGCACTTACAGAAGCCAAGAGAAAATGAAGAAGATGTCCAAGATCCTCCTCTGTGATGGCGGTCGATTATTTTGATGTCGCGATATCGAAAATGCAGCGAGCCATCTGGCTATAAACTAATCAGTTTCTTAAGAGCTTCTAAAGTATTGGTTTAGGCTATGAAGGATAGTTTGCATCCAAAACTTCCAATTCCATGGTTAACCTGTCATCAAAAAACAAGACATCTATTTTTCTCAAAGCAATATTTAATAAAGTAGCCAACCCAGCTCACACTTTCCACTTTAGAAAAATAAAATAAATGGCAAAAGGGTTAATGATAATTTGATTGCTACACCTTTTCCATATAAATGAGGATGCCTAGCTTAGTGAATACTATACTTTGTCTGAAGCAACGAACTTAAAGAAAGAAAAAGGTTGGCCCTCCTTGTCTGGGGAGCTAAAACAAGAATGGCTTATTGGTAATTTTAAAAAAGTTTCCACTTTTTAAAGGAACCAAATTTCATTTAGATGAAGAATTAAATCTATACCAGTCTCACAATGAATGAGGTAATTAAAGGTGCTTGTAATGGAAATGAGAGTTATACAGTAAGTAAGCTGAAGGGAGATATTATCTAACGATCATAAAATATGTGAGATCCTACATCGGTTGGGGTCAAACGAAACATTCTTTATAAGGGTGTAAAAACCTCTCCCTAATAGGCGCGTTTTAAAACCTCGAGGGAAAGCTCAGAAGGGAAAGGCCAAAGAGGACAATATCTACTAGCGGTGGGTGTTTTAAATAGCATCTCAAGTTTTTTACGGACTTTTTAGCTCAAACATGCATTTTCAAATCATCAAAACAGTAACCCAGTTGATATTCAATATGTTCCTCTAGATGTCATCATTGGGAGGGTAGGGATATCTCACAAAATCTCATATAAAAACACCATGAAAGCAGATGAAAGGAAAAGGAATACAAAAAGCAGTCATGATATTGATATTAATTTAAGCAAAACAAAAGGTAGCTCAAAGTGAAGGCATGTCTTATTTGTGTAGCTATTTTGTATCAAGAAGAAGAACAAATTATTCCTCTGGAGAAAGAATCTAAAGAAAAAAACGACATGATAAAGAGAAGCAGAAGAGAATAATGTTTTGCTCACCTTACAGCTATGCTGAACCAAGCACATCCATATGATTCAAGAGAAGAAAGAAAAGTGGTTGGTGGCAAAAAAGAGCAAAGGAAGGAAAGAATGTGATATATACCACAATTATTCCTCATACATCTCTCCTCTTCAAATAACCTGTTGAGAGGAACCCATAACTTTTATCAGAAACACTAAAGCCATTTGCTGTACCACCATGAATTTCTTCTTTTTATTGTTATTATTTTATTTTTTTACTTTACTTTTAACAATCGTGTGTTTTGGGTTCCACTCCTACTATGCATATGCCCACTTCCCACTAATCTTTAGAGAGGTTTTGCCTACCAAAGCTAGCTTTAGAAGACAACAAGGGCCGTAAGGTAAGAGTTTTAAGTTATCGAGTTTTTCGAGTCCTTAAAGATGTTGGAGGGTATCTCCAAACGTCTCATCCAAGGCGTGCTTTAAGGTTACTTTCAATAATTTTACCTTTAGATTCATTACTTAAGCTGTTAACAGATATTGTTCTCTTTGGGTTTTTCTTTTCGGGCTTCCTCTCAAGGTTTTTAAAACGTGTCTGCTAGGGAGAGGTTTCCACACCCTTATAAATAATGTTTCATTCTCCTCCCCGACCGACGTGGGATCTCACAATCCACCCCCCTTCGAGGCCCAGCATCCTCGTTGGTAACGAAACCCACCAATCACCCCCCTTTGATTCCCAACGTCCTTGTTGGCACACCGCCTCGTGTCCACACCCTTCAGGGTTTAGCCTCCTCGCTGGCACATCGACCAGTGTCTGACTCTGATACCATTTATAACAACCCAAACCCACCACTAACAGATATTGTCCTCTTTGGGCTTTCCCTTTCGGGCTTCCTCTCGAAGTTTTTAAAACACGTCTGCTAGAAAGAGATTTCCACACCCTTATAAAGAATGTTTCGTTTTCCATTCCAACCAATATGGGATCTAAGTCATTAAGTATTTAGTTAGGGCTTGCAGCTAGAATATTAGAGAATTGTTTCTATATAACTCTCTTAACCTAAGATGAACTCTGTCCCTCTCCTTCTTCATTTTGCCCTTTGTCCAAACATTACAACTCTTTACCTTGCACCATTGATGTTACAAGCAGTTTTATATTCATTTCTCTAATACAAAATTTGTGATATTAATCCATTAGAACCTACCTGATATAGAAGGAACCAGAATTATGAAGCAAAGGCTTCTCTCCTTACCAAAGGAATCAAAGTGTTGTTGAAAAAGAAAGCTTCAATCATTACAACACATTTGCAGCTCTTCTGCCTAAAATACATCGATTGAAGACATGTTTGTCAACAGAACAATCACCATGTTTGATAATAACAATGAAAAGCATATAAGTTTAGGACCACCACCATCAGTTTCAGCAAATGACCCCCCATTGTTAGAGAAGCCTCCGTCTATTAGTTCATCGAGATTCAAGCACATAAAGTGTCTAAAGATGCTACAAAAGTCACACAAATAGAACAAAAAATGCCCAAATTCTGAAATCTTTTATAGCTCTCATCTCCCAATCTTCAAAAGCTAAACCAAATCAAAACAATGGTTCATAGAAACGAAATTTGATGAAGTTTTAGATCATGTGGTTCATTAATCCCTCTCACTAAACAGACAATCCATTTCATTTCATGTAAAAGGGCGCAGCAGAAAAGAAAACCCAAGTTCCCATTTCCATGTAAGACATTTTTTAAAAGCAAATGGACCCATGAAAAGAAAGCACACTAAAAAAGAGGTTGAAAAATAGATTGAAGCATATATCTATCTACCCTTTTCTCTTTTCTTTCCAATCCAAGTCCCCACTCTCAAGCATCCTTTTACTTTCCCAACAATCAAGCAAAAGAATTCCTCGATGTTCGAAACCAAACCAAAAACATAAATGCAATTGTAATAAACAAATCAACAGAAAAAAACAGCTACTGGGCGGCAAAAGGTTGAAAGTTACATTACTAAAGTTGCGATTTCTTCGACCTCTTCATTACATTCTTGGCTTCAATTTCCTTTTCCCCCATCCTTTAGCAGCGGACCCTCCACTTCAATGGCACGTGCTTCTCTCTCTCGGCTAAATGATAGCTATGGCTGAAGAACAGGAAGGTTACAAAGGAATTCTGAGTGAAAATGATTGTGGGGTTTTCACTTTTTGATTATTGTTTCTTCCTTGAGCTACGCGTAGGCTCAAATAAAGAGAAAATAATTCAGGGAAGAAAGGAATGTGTTAGTTTTTTCTTCTGTACTTGCGGTGAAAGAAAGGGAAATAACGCATCAATTTTATCATTTCCTTTAAATTGCATTTTAGTCCCTCCCCTTTTCAAACTTTGCAATTTCAGTTAAAAATGTATACTTTTTTCTATTAGTTTGTTAAATTAAAAATAATTATTTTTTGAATGTTCCAAAACAAAAATAAATATTTTAAAATTTTAGGACTAAAACTAATATTTTGAAACATCAAGGACAAACATGAAATATTATCCTTTTTAAAATAAAAAAGCACTTAAGTTTATGATATTGCTTCAAGGGCAAGCTTTTCTTAGACTTTATTTAAATTTTTTTTAAAAAGGGAATTAAAACAATAAATATAATTCATAATTTATTAAATTGTATATATATATATATACACTTTATTATAGATATTGGGGAATGATAATATTGAAATTATTTGTTAATAATAATAACCTAGTTCATGATTGCTTTGACACCAATTATTAATTGCAGTGTTTATTGTGCAAATATAATGGTGGATTAAATATTATTTATTTATTTAAGTTTTTAATTGCCATAAAAAACATAAATGAAATAATTTCTAAGTGAAATCATTGTCCATTATGAGAGTAAGGAATATAAGTCATGTGAAGAAGTTCCATTGGTTTTTTACACCTCTTTATTTACAAAAGTGCACCACCCACATGAGTTTTTTTTTTTTTTTTTTTTTTTTTAATTAAATTTTGATCGANTTTTTTTTTTTTTTTTTTTTTTTTTCAATTAAATTTTGATCGATCCACGTTTTTTATGAAAAAAATAATGTAATTGGTTCGAGAAAAATGAAGCATATGTAAAGTTATTCCTCATGTATGTTGGGAGTACATTGTACGAACATGTACCTATTTTAATGATTTCAAGATGTATTTCTTCTCGTAGTTTAATTGCGTGAGAGTGCATATCATATATACAAGTCTGAGGATGAGGTATTTGTCTAGCGAATCCACATGCATGTACGTGAGTCATGTGTAGAGAAGTACTACGCATTCAAACCTACCTGACATGATTTTAATTTCCACAAAACATAAAACCATAGTTGTATGAATTTATATTTTCTTACTCCGACAATAAAGTCACTTCTTGAGTATTTTTTAAAAAGGCGAGAGTTCCATGTAACATTAGCAACGATTAGCAACGATTGTTAGGGATAGCTTAGTGACCATTAGGGAAAAGACAATGATCCAAACTAGAAAAACATCCACCCCTTACATAAAACCCAAATTTTCCCTCAAGAACAGGAGATATCAGTAACAAATAGATAGTATAGGGCCTGTGAATTTATTCATGAGGATGTGAGAACTAGTATATGATCCTATACTCTTAACCAAATGCCAAAAATTTCAAATCTCTGCATTATTCCTTCAAAGAAACTTGTTTTTCTAGAGCTCTCCACCCTATATCCCTCCTGTAGAACCCGCCCGACCAACTGATTTCCTCGACTGCTCGGTATGCTCTGTCCCGTGCCTCTTCAATGTCTTTGCCCTTTGCAGTAATCCCAAGAACACGCCCACCGACAGCAATGAAATTGTTTTCAAGGTCCAAAGAAGTGCCAGCATGAAATACCTTAACAGATGGAGCAACAAGCTCTGCTTCTTCGAGGTTTCGAATCACAGTTCCCTTCTCGTATGCCCCGGGATAGCCCTTGCTCGCCATTACCACCACCATCGCAGACCCCGGGGACCAATCCAGTGAAACCCCACTTAGCTCTCCTCTACATGCAGCAAGAAGAACTTTTGCAAGGTCTGATTGGAACCTAACCATCAGCACCTGTTTTTCATCATGGCCAGAGGTCAACAATCAGAAGCATGTCAAGAATATATAAATTAATGAAAAGGAGAAGCTATGATGCTAACATGCTTTGGTTTTCCATTGTAATACAATGGAAAGCTTACAACCAAATAATATATACCTCACCAGTGAAAGCTAGCATTTTACTTGAGAATTAATGAAATACAACCATCTCAAAGCAACACAATGCCACAATGCCCCCGGACCCGTTCATAAGGAAGCACTTCTCCGTTCCTGAATTTGAACTACGGGAGATAGAAATTAAGGGATTTAAGGATGCAATCCCTAGTTATGTGTGATGATCCTTCTCACTATTATTCCAACCGAGCACCCCTTTAAGGATGCAAAAGTTTTGTAGGAACGAATATCACTCGAGCTTTCTTTTGGGTATTATGGAAGGAAAGAAACTATAACAACCCAAACCCACTGTTAGTAGATATTATCCTCTTTGGTCTGTTACGTATCGCCATCAGCCTTACGATTTTAAAACGCGTCTGGTAGGGAGAGGTTTCTACACTCTTTTAAAGAGTGTTTTGTTCCCCTCTCCAATCGATGTGCGATCTCACATAAACACAACATGTTCGCTTCATATAGCTATGCATCCCCATTAACAATTTGGAAATGCCTTTTTCATCGTGAATTTACCATCCCTTAGTTCGAGTTTCCTTAAAAATATATCGATATGTATCTGCAAGGTGCACATGGCTAAATTAAACACAAAACATTAGTTTTAGGGAGCATCAACTAACCTGGCACTCGGGATCTCCAAAGCGTACGTTGTACTCTATCAACTTTGGCAAGCCAGACTTCTTCTCAATCATCAGACCAGCAAACAAAACCCCAACAAATTTGCAACCCTCTTTTGCCATTCCTTTTACAGTAGGTAGAATTATAGAATCCATAACTATACTTTGAAGTTCCCTCGTCACGATAGGAGCTGGAGAGTAAGCACCCATGCCACCGGTGTTGGGTCCGGTGTCACCGTCTCCAACTCTTTTATGATCTTGAGCAGATTCTAGGGGTATGGCATTCTCTCCATCTACAAGAGCAAAAAAAGATGCCTCTTCTCCTTCCAGGTATTCTTCAACAACAATACGACCACCAGCAGAACCAAAAGCACCCTCCACAAGCATTGCATCAACTGCTTCATACGCCTCCTCCAATGTCATAGCAACAATAACTCCTTTGCCAGCAGCCAATCCATCGGCTTTGATGACTATTGGAGCGCCTTGTTCTTGAATATATTGCTTTGCTGCAGAAGGGTCGGTAAATGATTGATACTGGTACCAAGTAATCCACGAGACAGACGATAGTCAGATATAAACAAAGACATTAAGTGATAGGTAAATAAAGGAAAGTTATTTAATATCTCAATCCAAGCCCACTGCTAGCAAACATAGTGACATATATGCAGCATGAAGTCGGCTAGGAACTAAGCAAACAAGTACAAGGAACAGAGCCAAGATCAACAAAAACAAACCTTTGCAGTGGGGATTCCATATTTATTACACAAATCCTTCATGAAATTTTTGGAACCTTCCAAAGCAGCAGCCTCAGCTGAAGGGCCAAAAGTAGCAATCCCAGCCTTCACTAAATCATTTGCAAGCCCTGCAACAAGAGGGGCCTCAGGACCTACAATAACCAATCCTACATTCCATTTCCGACAGAACGAAATGACAGCATCGCTGTCGAAGACGTCGAGCTCAGGAATACAAGTGGCATAGCCCGAGCTCGAAATCCCGGGATTGCCTGGCGCACAAAACACAGCATCACAGGAAGGAGAACGCTGCAATGCATAGCATAGCGCATGTTCTCTCCCTCCTCCACCAATCACCAATACAACAACTCGTTCATCTGCAAGTATTAGTTTAACAAAAAAGAATAAGTTTCAACCATCTAAATCATCCAAACAATACCAATATTTTAAAAACCCCCAAATTACCATCGACTTTACTAGAAGAGGTTGACGCCTCTGAGCTTACAATAGAGCAATTGATGACATGATATGAGAAACGTGAGCGATTGTGGAAGCGGGAATCCTTAGGTGGAAGAGAATTAAAGCTGAGGGATCCAACAGAGAAAGAACTTGCAGAGTTACAGACTAAATTGCTTCGGCCATTGGGCACAAACCCATTAAAGAATCGGACGCGATTCTTAATCTGGCTGCCCCTCTCAATGCTACACAACTTAAAGGATCCTCCTCCAAGGTTAAAAGTGGTGCAAGACATAACTCACTATAACTTTCTTCTTTCAAAATCGACCCTGAAAACCGCAGAGATAAATCAAGAAATTTAGGCGATGGAATTCAAACCAAAGCTAAGAATCATGGGCAATCTTTCATATCCCTATTTCATTGAAAATTTCAATGACCCTTCAGAGAAGGCGACATACCAATAAGAAAACGACCCCGAAGAAAGCTTTTCAAAGGTCAAACCAAACGGAAAAGGCGTGAAGTACAAAAGAGAGAGTACTAAAATAGAGAAAATCGTATTCTGGAGCGGTTCAGTGGTCAATGGGGAAAACCCAACAGCTGAATCGATAGTTTTCACAATCCAATGGGTTAGTCCAATGGTTTCTGGTGCAAGTACAAAACTATGGATGGCGAAGGGAGCAGTAAAATTTGTGCGTGTTTGCTTATTATAATGAAATTACAAACCCAAAGTTGAAACGTAGAAAGAGAGGAAGAACATAACTTACCTTTTTCGAAGCTAAAAAATGGAGAGTTATTTGGAAAAAGAAGAGGGAAGGCGAAGAGAGGTGGTTCAGAGCATCTTCAGAACTCTTAGTAAAAGTGGGAATCTCTTCCCTTCAAAGAGAGGGAAGCAAAGAATCAACTCTTTTTAGTTTCTATATCAATGTTAGAAGGTCTTCCCTAGGGTTTTACTTCCAATATTGATATCATTTCTTCAAAAACTCAACATTTTAGCGGAAAATATATATTACTTACCTAATTAAACTAACCCCAATTATATATCTTTTTAAGTAATATTAACTTTACCGAGACTGTGCACTTGATTAATTGTAAGACTAAGCTCCAGTTTCTAAATATATTTATTTTTAGATTTCTAAGTTTATAAACTTTTAATTTTATGTTACGTCTACTAATTTTACACGTGTTTCATTACGCCGTTGGTTGGAGCTTTGAAGGTAGAAGACTA